GCTGGTTTAACAAATCGACAAGCCGACGTCGAGTCCAGAAACAAATATAACGAAGCGGTTCGCAATGCCAAACACCAGCACGATATAAAAGTTAGGCACAGGGGAATGTCGCAGTGCAATGGCAGTCGGTCTTTCTGGACGCTGGCCAAGCAGAATGAAAATCACTTATCACACAGTAGCCTTCCACCACTTACGTGTCAGGATGGAACTATTGTATTCGACTCAAAGGCCAAGGCAGAAGTGCTAGCCAAGATCTTTCCTGCCAACTCCACCATGGACGTTCCCACCAACGCCCAAATGCCGTCAATTCAAAGGGTTCCCCACACTATGCGGGAGGTAACATTCAGGCATAAGACCGTAAGACGAGTGCTCTTGTCTCTCGCTCAACAAAGCTTCTGGTCCGGACTTGATTCCTGCCATTGTACTGAAGAGATGTGCAGCGGCCTTGCTGCAGTTCTATCGCGTCTCTTCAAGATATCTTTTGAATCCGGCACCTTCCCAGAAAACTGGAAATTTGCTCATGTCCAACCCATCCCAAAAAAAAGGATCTAAGACCAACCCTTACAACTACAGGCCTATAACTCTGCTTTCTGTTATAAGTAAGGTGATGGAGAGGTGCATAAATCGCGAGCGTCTGGACTACCTCGAACGTCACAGCTCGATTAGCGACAGGCAGCATGGTTTCCGGCACCAACGATCCACATGGGACCTCCTAGCTTACGTCACGCAATTGTGGAGTAAATTCATCCAGTCTTATGGTGAGGCCCATGTCGTTGCTCTTGACATCACGAAAGCATTCGATCAGCTGTGGCACGCTGCCCTCTTAAACAAACTTCCATCCTATGGCCTCCCAGAAAAGCTTTGCATATCGGTGGCTGACTTTATCTCTGGCCGTAAGATATCCGTCGTAATTGACGGGTTCTCCTCTTCAACCCACAACGTGTTCCCCAGGGATCGGTCTTGGCTCCAACACTGTTTCTCTTACATATCAACGACCTCCTTTCCTGTACGGTCAACCCAATCCACAGCTTCGCTGATGACAGTACTCTACATGCAGGAATTCAGAGTGACAAGCCGATCTCTGCAGCTGAGCTGGAAAAAAGAAGACTAGCGTCGACTTCTTCTCTGACAAGAGACCTGGAGGCTGTCACTGCTTGGGGACGCAACAATTTTGTACAGTTCAATGCTTCCAAAACACAGTACTGTACTTTGACGAACAAAAAGCGTCCCAGCGCTGATCCAGTTTCGATGGACGGCAGAGTTCTACCAAAGAGCCATTCGTTTCGGCTGGTCGGAGTCCAAATCACCGAGGACCTGATCTGGCACGAACACATCTCGTCAATAGCTGCAGCAGCTGGGAAAAAGCTAGGCTATTTGTTTAGGGCTAAGAAACAGTGGCGGCTCGTGAGGTAGTGCCACGGTGCCATGGCACTACCTTGTCTTCTTCAAAAAGAATATTTTTTTCAATCTTCAATGTTTTACTTTATTTTTTGCTTTTTCATTTTTTTTTGGTATAAATTATATGAAGTGACAACACTGACAACGTGACAACACCGCAAGCACCCGAACACGCGACGAGATATAAAGCATGCCTTGACCTTGACGTCATCAACTTGTGCCAATGTCGGGCCGGCCCAAATAAAAAGAGAGAAATTTTACCAGCATCGCATACGAGCGACAGAGATAACGCTACAATACACATTTTTATATGAGGTGAATAGCGAAAGACAAGTATAATTTGTGCCAGGCACATCATCAGTCGTAATTCGTTATCAAATGATATCGGCGGTGTTTTTGTTCGGTCGGTCGTTTCGTTATGATTACGTCTAGTGCTGATTTCGGTCTTTTTTTACCTGAAAAGTGAGAAATAACGTTTTTGTTTTAGTACGTCTAGTGTTAATGAACTGCTCTGTTTTGTGATCATATTTTTTACTGTTTTATTAAAACTAGTGAAAATGAATAAAATCGGGATATTAAAAAACTCATTTAGTGGTTTTTCGCTGGATCAAAAACTGCAAATTAAAGAATTAGGACGGCCAATACCCGATTTAAAAATTGAGAAACAAAGTGGTAGCGGACAAAAATCGCGCTGTCGCAAATTTAATAAAAATGTGTACGATAAAAACAGCTGGATATGTGGTTGTGAAGAAACGAATAAACTATTTTGTTTTGTATGTGTTCTATTTGGAGGTGACGAGACTTGGTCAAAAAAAGGTACAGATGATCTTATACATATATGGGATAAAATGAAGACCCACGAAAAATCTAAAGTCCATATGAATAATGTTTTTAGCTTTTCTATTCTTGGTAAATTAAATATAAGGACTCAACTCAATTCGGCTTATCGCAATGATCTAATTAAACATAATAATCAAGTGGATAAGAATCGATATGTATTGAATAAAATTATTAATTGTATAAGGTTTTGTGGAGTATTTGAGTTAGCCTTAAGGGGTCACGATGAAAAGGAAAATTCGGAAAACAGAGGCATATTTAAGGAGCTGGTGAATTTTAGCGCCGAATTAGACAACGAATTGAAAGTCCATATTCAAAGTGCCAAACTTTTCAAGGGTACCTCAAAAACAACTCAAAACGAGCTTCTTGAGTGCATGCTAGATGTTTATCATGAAGAAGTTAAGAAGGAGATTGCAAATTCTCCTTTTGTTGCAGTAATTGCCGATGAAACGACTGACGTAGCCTGTGAATTTCAGTTAGTTATTATTTTCAGATATTTGTGTAAAGGACAACCAGTTGAGAGATTTTGGAGATTTTACGTCCCCGACGGACACGATGCCAAATCAATCGCTGCATGCGTTTTAAATGTTGTAAATCCATTAATAGATCAAAATCCAAACAAATTAATAGCTCAAAGCTATGATGGTGCGTCTGTTATGAGTGGTGAATTGAATGGCGTTCAAAAGATTATTAAGGAAACTTATCCACTTGCAAATTATGTTCATTGCTATGCACACCAGTTAAATCTAATTATGACAAGCGCATGCTCTGTCAATAAGCAGGCTAGAATATTTTTCCATAATTTATCTGGATTGTGCTCTTTTTTTTCGACGTCTCCTCAAAGAACAAAAATTTTGGATGAAATAGTTAATCGCAGATTGCCAAGATCTTCCCAAACACGTTGGAATTTTCAGTCACGAGGTGTTCATACAGTTTATGAAAATAGGAAAGACCTGATTGAAGTTATGGACAATATAGAAAGTACTTCACGCGATTCTTCGTCGATTAATCAAGCCAGTGGGTACAAATTAAAGCTGCAAGATACAAATTTTGTATTTTGGCTAAGTATATTCCATAAAATAATGCCACATGTTGAAATTGTCTTTAACCAATTACAAAAAGTATGCACCGATTCTGTTAAGGTCAAAAATGATTTAGAGAATTTTGAAGCAGCAATTCAAACTATACGAGAACAAATGGATAGCATTATTGACGAGATTGAACGAGTGCAGAGAGAAACTGATGAACCGGCAAGAAAAAAAAGGCAAGTTGAAGAAGGCAGCAAAAAACGGGAAGCGTTAGAAATATGCGATGCAGTATTATCGCAAATAAGAACAAGATTTAACTTTTCTGGGCATTTAGTTGCTTCTAATTTATTTGTGTCTGAAAAGTTTTCTGTTTATAAACATCAGTTTCCTGAAGCACATTTAAATGACACATGCACACAATTTTCATTTTTAGACAAAAACAGGCTTAAAACTGAGTTACAAGTATTATATCAGAGAGAAGAATTGAGTACTACTTCTGGAGCTGTTCCACTATCCATTTTATTGAACGAGGAAGGATTAAATTGTACGTTTCAAGAAACTCTTAAGCTCTTAAGTATTTTAATCACTATACCGATGTCAACATCTGAAGCAGAACGCTCTTTTTCAATGCTGAAACGGATTAAAACTTTCCTCAGAAACACAATGAAGGAAGAAAGGCTTAGTGCTTTAGGAATGCTGTCTGCAGAAAAACATTTTGTTAGTGGCATTGAAAATTTTAATAATAAGGTAATCGAAAACTTTGCTACCAAAAAAGAAAGAAGAATGGACTTCATGTATAGAAAACTTTGAAGTTATAGGTACTTCTCCACACTTGTTTTATAATTTGGTGCGCGTGTGTAAATAGTTTTATTTTTGATTTTTTTTTGGACATATAGATTTATTGAACCTCAAGAACTTTGACCACTAACTATCAGGGGTAAGTTATAAGTTATTCTTTACAATTTTGAATCGATTCAAAATTATGGCTTCCATTCTGGCACTACCTCACTGAATTGGCACGAGCCGCCACTGCTAAGAAATACTTTTCTCGGCATGACCTCACTCTATACAAGGCCCAGATAAGGCCTAGCCTCGAGTATTTCTCACACATTTGGGGTGCTGCCGCCCCGACTACATTATCCATGCTCGTTGCTGTCCAGAGTAGGGCGGTCCGACTGATAGATGACTCTTCTCTAACAGACAGTCTCGGGACTCTTTCGCACCGGCGGGCCGTCGGCGATCTAGCTCTTTTCTATCGCTACACCAACGGGCTCTGCTCCTCAGAGCTCTCTGATGCCGCCGCGCGATGTGCCTGCCATACAGGCCCGCCTGACTTTGGCGTCCTATCCTAACCGTGTCAGACTTCGTACATCCAGAACTGGCCGATACGACCGCTCCTTTGTCCCGAGGGTGTCTAGATTGTGGAACAATCTACAAGAGGGAGCTTTTCCCAGTTCAACTAACCTTAGGCAGTTCAACAATCGTATTAACAAAATTTCTTTGGGATAATCATAGCAGCCGCGGTGTTCCGGCATTTAGGCTTCTGCCTGCGCGGCTGCTTCGGTATAAAAAAAACTGACGAAAAAAAACTGCTGTCTTCCGCTTTGGCTCTATTTCAAAAAAATATTTGCGAAATTCGGTAGCTGTTCCAACATCGTTTTGTGTCAAATTTCCGTTTTCCTGTTCTATAGCGGGGATATAACATAAAGGGTGTGATATGATATAATAAAAAATTAGTAGGCTTCATGTGATTTTATTATATTTATCTATATCAAACATCTTAGTTTCGTACACAGTATATATAACTTATAAAACTAGTAATACATTTTTTCAGAATGAAAATAGCACTCGTATCACCCAGTTATGTTATGTTACAGTCTATAACCCATTCGCCAAAAACATGTAGAGTAGTAGATCCTTATATATTATATATTATATACGGGAAATCGGTTGTCCTTTTTCTGTTTAATGTTAATTTTTTTCTATGCGCTCTGTCATCTTCAGATTTGAAAACAGTTAGCAGTTGAGTGCATACTATTATAATACGAGCTACTTAACAGCATTTTTTAGTTACAACCGACATCCAACAATTAAAAGTATAGTATGAACAATATTTTACTGACTACATACATCATAATCTACCAATGGCACGCATGGTACTGTCCATTAGTTTTCAAACACGTATAAGGAATGGAAGTATAATATATTCCTAGACAAAATCCGGCATATCTACTTATTTAACTAAAAATTTGCCAATAATTATTGACAACAATTATATATAATCCACGGACGTATATAAGGGGGGAGTTTTGGGGGTCCGGACCCCCCCCATTCATATCCACCTTACTTGTCCAACAGAAAAAAATTATAATACATGCACCGCGCCGATTGTAATAAACGATAGTTGCTGTGGAGCGTGTCCGTAGGGCGAGTATCGGAAAACGCGATGCGTATGCCCGCGTAGTGCGGGGTGAGGGGGGATGGGCACTTCCCCCGCCACCGTCGCCCGCGCTTCGGCGGCGCGCACCAAACCAAGCTAGTCTAGTAGTCTAGTCCACAGAACTGTCTAGTCTATTTTATCTCTTCGCGTTGACGCGTTGCGCAGTTGTTATAAATACAATATAGAAAGAAGTGTCGCTATGAAACGAACAAATCAGGTATCTCTTTTGGGTTTTTTTTGTAAGAAAGAGAGTCCAAAGCCCAATGAACTTTTGTCAATTGAAGAAGTAGGAATAAATAGAGCGGGGCCATCCACAGATACTGATGACGATGAAGTGAAGAAAGGTAAGTCTCTTATTTATTTAATTAGGAAGAAATCCAGTTATTTGAATTTAATAGACGCTCTAAAAACTTTTATCCTGCTCTTATTTTTATTCCCAGAGAATTTTTGTAAACAATTGTGTTGCCGTGAGCATAAAATATTTGACAAAAATGGTAATTTCAGTGTACATGCGGAATGTACCTAAGTGTCATAAAATCATTTCGCCTTTTAAGAGAAATAGAATTATATTTAACAACTAAGTGGCGCCCGCGACTGTGTTCGCGTAGACTTAATTTTTAGTTGAAAATTCTTATTCCCAACATAACTTTTTAGTTTTTGTCAAATATTTCTTTGTTACAGCCAGGATCGATTTGTGTTCGGCTCCGTCCGCAGCCGCAGCCAGGACGGGTTATGATATTGGGAAATACGTATGTCATCCTCCAAGCAATGACGAGGAAAAGCTGAGAGCATTAAAAGAGCCTTGGATTCCTCCGGACACATTTAAATTTCCAGTCACTGACACCGGTAAAAAGAAACTTTCTTTTCAACGCCATTGGACTAACAGGTACTCATGGCTTGTATATTCAAACCTCATGCAGGGAGCACTTTGCAAAGTATGTGTTCTACTTGGAAAAACGCAAGGTGGTCGTGGTCATCAAGAACTTGGAGCCTTTGTTAGTAAGCCATTTATTAACTGGAAGAAAGCTTTAGAGAGCTTTGATCACCATGCAGATACGAAGTATCACAAATTTGCTGTTGAGCAGGCAGCAAATTTTGCAAGGATCATGGAAGGAAAAACGCTTGATGTTACAGAATGCTTAAATGTAGAAAACAATAAAATTGCCGAAGAGAACAGAAAAAGATTAAAAGCCATTGTTGAAACAATTATTCTTTGCGGAAGGCAAGCAATAGCACTAAGAGGAAGTCATGATTCTGGAGAAATTGGGATAAATGAGCCTGAACATAATGATGGTAATTTTAGAGCACTTCTTCGTTTTCGTGCGCGATCTGGCGATGAAGCACTCAAGAATCATTTACTAACACAAAACATTCACAGTAGAGCCATGTATACGTCATCAGTAATTCAAAATGAGGTGATTGAACTATGTGGTAGTGCTATTCAAACGCAAGTACTTAATAGGGTCAAAGAGGCTGGTTTTTTTACTATACTTGCTGATGAAACACAAGACATTTCACGGCGAGAACAATTAGCGTTATGTTTACGATATGTACACTGCTCATCTGGGAAATCGGTTATACGGGAAGATTTTTTAGAATTCATTAACGTAGAAGATGTTTCAGCTCAAGCTTTGGCAACGACTATTATATCACATCTTTTATCATATAACTTGGATATGGATAAATGGATTGGTCAAGGCTATGATGGCGCTGCAGTGATGAGCGGCCGGTTACGGGGCGTAAGAACAATAATCTCAGAGCAATACCCGAAGGCGCAATTCGTACACTGTGTTGCTCATGTTCTTAACTTAGTTTTAGTTTAGTTTAAGAGCGTAATAAACTTTTTTCGCCAATCACCGCTTCGCGACGGACTTTTGAAGAAAATTGCGGATCAAATTAACTCATCTCATTCAACGCTTATCTCTCTTTGTGAGACAAGATGGACCGAGAAACACGTGGCTGTCGAAAGATTTGCAGAAATGGTTCCCGTTATACGCGAAACACTTGGGGCACTTCAAGATGCTGCAAGCAGCGACGTCGCTACTCAAGCATACCATCTTCAAACCGCTATGGATAACAGCCAGTTTATTGTTTCTTTAGTTATACTGAGAAAAGTTTTTTCATATACAGCAAACCTTAACAAAGCAATGCAGAAAGTCAATGTCGATTTGACCAACATTTGCGAATATACAAAAACGGTAAAAACGACTTTACTAAATGTTCGGAACGAAAGTCAGTTTGCAATCCTTTTTGAGCAAGCGCAGCAGATGAGTTCAGGCGATATAGTCGTGCCAAGAATAACTGGAAGGCAAACCCTGCGCAATAATATTGCAGCAGAAACTGCCGAAATATACTACCGACGAAATGTGTTTTACCCTTTCATTGATCATGTTATTGCAGAACTCGACGCTCGTTTTAAACCACATGAATCGACGATCGAAGGAATTCAAATGCTGTTACCTGAAAAAACTAGTAATGACTCCAGGATAAAAGAAAATCTTGAAAAAATTGCACAAACATTTCTTGGTGGAGAAAATGAAGGCACAATATTTCTGAGTGAATATGAGATATGGCACAATCACTGGAAATCTGTAGCACAAAAACCTGCAACTGTGCTTGACGCTATCGATAACTGCGATGATCAGTTCTTCCCTTCAATAAAAAAGCTTCTAATTATCTTAGCCACACTCCCAGTGTCCACTGCAACCCCTGAAAGATCTTTCTCTACCTTAAAGAGGTTAAAAACTTACCTAAGAAATAAAATGGGCGATGAAAGACTTACTGGTCTGGCTTTAATGAGCGTACACCGAGATCTGGCGGTGCAACTAGATTCCGAAGAAATTATCAATCAGTTAGCAATAAAACGTAAAAGACTAAATTTATTATTTTAAAGTTTCAACTTTGTTACTTTTGAATAAATATTGCAATACATACATTAAACTTTTTATTTAAAGGCACCTACCTAAGTAACCTGAGTTATATATTATAGATTACCCGCGACTATACTTGCGTGTTATAATCGAAATGTTTAATCTGTAAGTAATAGATCCAATTGGCGTTAGAGCTCTGTTTTTTTCACTTTGGGGACCCCCCCCTTATCAGAGCTATAGCTACGTCAGTGGGTATTATCACTTGATAAAGATAACAAAATTCTTAAGCACTGTATGGAGATGTTAGTAGTCATGTAAATGGATATTAAGAAAAAATATTGTTACATAATTCACAAAATACAAAGATAAAGACATACAATTAAAACTTTAACAAAGTACAAAACCCGTAATTTTCAGATCAATTTTCGACATACAAATCAATAGAATGAACTACGACTACAATTGCGAAAACCCTGTTACTTGTTATATGCTATCAGTGCTAATTATTGATATTTTTTATCGAAAAACAAAACATACCAAGTGTAAACAGAATTGTATAAATACATTGACACTGAAGTTTCGACTGTTCAACATTTAGTACTAATGTGATGAAACTAAAGTTGGGTTTTAACAATATCTATAGTAAAAAAACGTTAACTATCTATTTAATGATGCATTATCCATGTTTTTTTGCACCTAGTTCGTCTGCCTTCTTAGTTGCAACCTCAATTGCATCCATTATAGCAGCCCTGAAATAATAGAAGTCTTTTAGATACTACATCGAGGACCAAGTTCAGTATTTTTCTATTATGAAATAAAGCCCAAAAATCAACAGAGCCACCAAAAGTAGAATAATACTGTTCTTTCCAAAAATGAATTTCGAATAGTAACAAACTGTCATTTAAGATAGACCAGTTCAGTGCAGCACGTAGCTAGACAGAATCATATAATTTATTTGATTCGATTACTGTATTTTTGACTGTCTCTGATAGAAATGCATTGATGGAGAAAATCGGCTGTGTCCAACTGCCACAATAATCCTGTCTTCTCAAAAATTTACTTAAATCTGGCTTTCTAGCATTTACTAACGATATGGAGAATTATTTTAAATAACTTCAAGTAATCTATGTCACTCAACATACCTGACTCCTCCTCTTTCCAATGCATGAACACCAGTTATAGTTGTACCTCCAGGAGAGCACACCTCATCTCTCAACTGTGCTGGGTGTTTGCCAGTTTCTTTAACCATTTTGGCAGAACCTAATACCGTTTGAGTTGCAAACTCTAACGCCATAGCTCTTGGAATGCCCATTTTTACGCCACCGTCCGCCAGGGCTTCTATGATCAGGTAAACCTATAAAACGAAGTCGAGTAGACTGTCATAAGTGTCAATTGTTTACACCGTAATGATGAAACTACGTCGCCTAATTAGCATAGCTGATATTCGGTCACGATCAACCTAGTTTATCTTACATTTTTGTGAAGCCTGTTTTTTCTTTTCTAAATTTTTTGGGGATTCATGACTTGTACGCTTCTGGGCCGTATTTTTGAAATCGGGTGATAAAACTCATACGAAAAGATAGCGAAGAGCAGCTGATCACCTGTAACACGTTGTTACAGTGAGATGAGATCACAAGGACCCTTTTGACATTTTGGATGTACGCCTTTACTTATATATATACTGGGGATTTCGATGGTGAGTTCTACAGTGAAATTTTAATAGTAAAGTACTTTTAGCTAGTTTGAAGTACCTGCTGGTCCATTTTTAGACATCGAAATACTACGACTGCTTCTAGATACCTCGAAGCAATTCACAACACATCAAGGAAGCAACAAGAACAGCTGAAAATATTTTGTGGTTGCGATGCTCACATCGGCTATTCATGGAATGAATAAATATTTGGACAATAAAATGCTAAAAAAAATACTTCAGCAACCCATGGGCAACTTGGTTTTGCCGTTCGCCATCAATGTCGCTACCTATTGACTGAATAACTTACTTCCAGTCTTTACAGGAAGCACAGCCACATAGTACACGTTTTTGTAGTATGTGGAAAAGTACTAAAACTGTATGGAGCAAGACTTGTGAAAGAAACTAGGAGAAAAGCGTAGTTATAGCAAGAGAAGACATTTAGTGGAATGTATAATCAGCCAGTCGGCGCCGTTGACCTTGGGTTTCTTCTGCATTGTAGTAGTGACATGATACGATAACAGCTGGTCAACTCGTACGTACTTTGCTGAGTTTCTTGTTTAAAATCAAAATACGTTAGATTTGATAGTTTTTAACATACACTACTTAAAAAAATTAAGGGAGCAAGAAAAAATCCAAATCTTTCGGTGACCTTTGACAAACTGAATTTTGGTGAAAAATGGTGGTATCTAGGCTTAAAAAATGCATTTTGAAGCTTCAACTTAAATTCTAACATATAGCGCAAGAAACATTTTTTGCAAAACTTTTGCCTTCTTCTTTGAAGTCCACGGGCTTGGAAACATTTTTTTCTGTTAGACCATCAAATGAATCAAATAGCCCGTTTATTCAACTCTAATACCTTGTTTTTAAGATCCCGATACGATTCTTTGGCGAAAAAGATATCTGACTTTGAATGAAAAAAGATTCTTTTGTCATCGACCACTGATATGTCGGTAACCAGTGCTCACACAGATAATGTAAGGATATTTCAGAAAACTGGAATACACCTCCTATGAGATTTGATTTCAATCTTTGAGGATTTTTTTTGTTTCGTAAGTGCTGATTTTAAAAAAGTCAAAAAAACTTGTTGCCTTGTTTTGGAAAATCGACTGCATCTTTGGAACTGCTAATGAGAAGGCTAATGTTTTTAGATTTTTTTATGCCTGTGTATCCCTAATAACTCTGCACGACGGCAGTTCGATCCATTGTACGGTTTCTTCAGACCGACGAATTCGTGAATCTACCTTTGAGACCCTCTAACAAATATTTTCTAGATCAATGAAAAATTGGAACGGCTGCCGAGTCAAGCATGAGCGCGGTAGCGAACCTCGACCAGGGGAAGGGAGAGTAGGGAAACAGCTGCGCGCAGAGGTGTTTCCGGATCTCGCCTCGCACCTTCTTATGTAGCTGGAGCACTTTGGGAACCATATTACTGGATCAACCCTCGTATTTTTTTTTATACTCCAACTACCACGAAGGCCTAAGGCCTAAGCACCCATTGGGAACCGTGGGGCTATAGGGGGATACGTGGGAAAGGGGGGACGCCACACGGACTCTGGCGAGGGAACACGTGTGCATGGAACATGCACACATTCTGGCTCCGCCTACGAGAACCGCCGGGTGGTACCTCCAACAATAAAGAATTATAATTGCAAGCACATGAAAGTGGTCAAAATTCCTATGCCTTCCCACTGAAAGCTAGAAACATATATCAGACAATAATTTACAGAAAATATATTGGAAACATTAAGCTATGAACTTTAAAGAACTACAGTGTACACTAAAGGGATAATCACTCAGTAATAGAATAATTATTATCTGAATAGTCATCCATGCACCATTCATTATTTGCACCTAATCTAGTATCAATAAGCAGTAACAGGCAATGAATTCGAATAATATACTTACAAATGCTGGTCCAGATCCTGATAGTGACCCAACAGCATTGATAAGAGATTCGGGTACTTGTTTACAAATTCCACTAATAGATAAAATTGCTTCTACTGTTTCAATGTCATGTTCTGTTGCTTTGGGGCCGGGAGCGAATACTGTGCAACCCTCACCTACCATCATTGGTGTATTTGGCATCACTCTAATTACTCTAGCGTCTATCCGGCCTAACACCTACACATAAATAAAACGTTTTCACCAAGATCTGCTGCTATGTGGGTGTGGTCAAAAAGTGAAGGGAATATTTTTAGATAATCCTAAGCCTGTTTTGCCCTATAACGATTTTCAAAATACTCGTATGTTTCAGAAATACGGGCTACTAATGCTCGCCACTGGAAACTGGTTCTAAAATAATTCCAAGATTTCCAGGAACGGACTAGCCCTACCGCATTATTGCTAATTTTATGTCTCAAAAATGTTTCGTAGTCAAATTACACAAGAATACATTTATTCGACAGCAGTATTTAGCTATTCAAAAATGTTGAAGAATCATTATATAAGGTGTAGAAAAATTAGTAATATTGTGTTAGGGCTAATCCGTCACTGGCGATCTAAATGAGTTGTTTTCTATGGACACCACCATCTGAAACATCAATGCTGCCAGAATGTTGTTCAAATATTTGTATAGTGCTCTTCAGGTGTTACTGAAGAAAGTCCAAGTTTTAACGACGTTATTTAATGGTCTGTTGAATTAAAGAACAATAAAGTGAATTATTGTTTTAATTTAAAAATTTATAGCACTTCCATGTGATGTCCAGTACCATGTTCAAATACTAGTATACATGAAATATGTCTATGAATACAAAAATAAACAGACAAGAAAGTACTATCATAAAATCAATTTCTCATTAGAGAAGTGTATATATGGAATCATTGATAAGTGGTGTTTCTCCACTATGAAAGAGTTATTGCAAAATAATTATTATGAGCCTCAAACATAGTATATGAAACAATCCGAGACGGCTCCAGAATTTTGTACGCACCGAGGCAAAGGATAAAATATGCGCTCTCCCCCCATTTTGAGTCCCTCATGACACTGCTACTCAAGATACGAGTAATGTCACAAAGTTGATCATTACTTACATTTTGAAGTTGTTTTATTGTAACTCCAGCTAAAATTGATACAAACAATTTTGATCTTGGATTTGGTGTTTTCAATGTGTCATACATATTAGCTATAGCATCTGCTAGCATATGCGGTTTCACTGATATGAATATAACATCACATTCTTCCACAATCGCACCATTCTGAATATACACATGTGCTCCTTTATCTCTCCATGTAACTAGATTTGTCATATTTGGTCCTGATACATAAATTTGGCTGTACTCCACTAAACCTATAGAAATATCATGTTCAAAATATAACTCTGAAGTAATGTATAAAGCATATTACAGGGTGGCGCAGAGGAAACGCACGATTTTTACCTAAGCATAACATTTTTTATTTTCAAGATAACTTTGTTTCAGTTACAGCTAAATAAAGTAATGATAGTGCACTTTTAAACTAATGATGGTAAATAACGTCACTCAAGTGTCGCCCTGCTTCGCGCTCGCACATCTCCAACCGCTCTTGAAAGTTGTGCATTACACGTAAAATCATTTCTTGTGGTATTCTTGCAATTTCTTGACGAATAGCAATTTTCAGTTCCTGTAACGTACGAGGCTTGTGAGGGTACACTTTATCCTTAAGGTAACCCCACAAAAAGAAGTCGCATGCGGACAAATCTGGGGAGCGTGGAGGCCAAGGGACATCGCCGAAACGGGAAATCACATGTTCAGGAAACATCTGTCGAATCCATTCCATTGATGCTCTCGCTGTGTGAGCTGTGGCACCGTCTTGTTGGAACCAGAGCTCTCCCATGTTTACTTGTTGCCGTTGAAGTTCGGGTAACAGAAAATTTTGTAACATGTGAACATAACGTGCTGAAGTAACTGTTACTGCTCTTTCTTCCTCTTCAACAAAGTAAGGACCAACGATACCTAATTTACTGATTCCGCACCACACAGTTAATTTTTGACTATGCAAGGGTCGTTGGTGTAGCTCTCGTGGATTTTCGGCCGCCCAATACCTACAGTTCTGCTGGTTTACATATCCTGTTAAATGGAAGTGTGCTTCGTCACTCATCACTATGACGACGTCAGGATTGTCAGCAAAAATGGCCCGCATTCTCGCACAAAATTCTCTACGCTGTGCAAAATCGCTTTCCGTTAGCTCTTGCACGATCATTATCTTGTACGGATGATATTGTAAATCGTCATGCAGAATGCGTTGTAACGACCGACGGGACATACGCAGAGTTGGAGCTTGGCGCCTAGTGGACCGTTGGGGACTATCAAGGACCGCTCTTCTCACTGTTTCGATATTGCCTGGAGTCCGCACGGTACGGGGAAGGCCAGGTGGCTTCCTCTTCATTACGGATCCAGTACTTCGAAATGCTTCAACCCATCGGAGTATTGTGTTTCGATCTGGAATTGGCCCGTGGCGTTCAACATTGAACTGTCGACGGAATAAACGTTGCACGATCACTACAGAATCATCGTTTCGAAAAAATTGCTCGACGGCAAACACACGATGCTCCGTCATCCACGGTGCCATGGCTGAAACTGCATCGCATGTGTTCTCTGCTGGCGGTGCGGCGAGGTCATATCCCTATTCTGTGCGAAATACCATTCGGTCAGAAAACATGCGTTTCCTCTGCGCCACCCTGTATAAAAAAGGTAAATGAATCCATGACACAAAATATTTGAACAAAATTGTGAAAAAGAATACTGGACAGGAATATGAGTCTGAAGGACATGAAACCAGACATACATTTATATCGATATTTATAAGCAAAAGTTAGAAGCATAGGAATTATTTAGTAGTAATAATAGTTTGCAATCTACAGGATTGTGCAATCACATTAAATTCGCGAAAGAGTATGACTTTGCAGGCATCATGGTTTCTTGCCTGCCAATTTTAAATGTAACTACAGCATTGATTCTGGTTGTGTTTCCAACTGAGAATATCACAAATGTAGCCTAACTGGATTCGGTCCTCAACCATCGGATTTCTGGATTGCTTTACTGAATCAGTATTACATACAGTATCTATAGATACATAGGTTTTTCATGCATTCAAATAATATTTTAGAGGTTAGCTCATCAGACTTATCAGACAGAATTGCATTTTCTAATGGATTGGTAGAAAAATCCAATTTAGTCAGCATTTTAGTAGTTCTCCTGCTTCATACCATACATTAAAAAGATTAACTGTAGCCACAATGTAAATTACTAATTATTACATTTAAAAACACTGAAAGCTTTATCCGTAACCCACAAGTGATTATAACACAATAAATAGAAATATAAACCGTCCATCATCTCACAGTTACCGAAAAAAAAGAACCATTACAGGTGCACTGAAATATACTACAAGTTACCTCAAGAAATTAAAAGGTTGTGGGATATAAAAAAAATTAAAAAGAGTATTCATCAATATAATTAATGATTTTAAAACCATATGCAGTATATTTCACCTAACCTAACTGTGATTATGAATTTTCTAACTGATAGTAGCTGAATAATGTAATGGTTGATTTGTGGTGATTTGAATATACATAATATACAGTTATTCTAGAAAAAGAATGGTCAAAATTATTTCATAGTATTTTTTTTTAATTGTTTAGTCATCAAAAATGTCCCTTCCGTGGATGTGAGGGAACTGGTGTCTTAAAGAAAAAAAACTCATAAGGTTCAATTGTCGTGAATGCTTAATAACGAATGCAAATATTATCTTAAATAATTGTTTTATTAATACACCAATTAATACTTAATTCGTTATAGCATAATACTCACTTATTCACAAATAAATTTATTAGACCCCGTTCAATAAAAAATTGATTGAAAAAAACTGGAACTATGAAGGACAAAACTATATATATATATATAGACAAAGCAAAACAATTATAGAAAAAAGAAGCAAACTTCATTGAATTATAGAAAACCAACCATGTTTGTGTTAATATTTTGTAGCATAACCACTATTATCAATCTGTCTCCACTTTTGCTCTAAAGCGGCAAAAAGATCATCCTTGCTTGAATAATTTTTATCTCGTATTTGCTTATCTAAGTATTCCCATAGATTTTCAATGGGGTTTATATCGGAAGACTGTGAAGGCCATTTGAGAACTGGTATTTTTTCATCCAGAAAGAATTTCTTTGCGAGATTTGAAGTGTGCTTCGTGTCATTATCTTGCTGGAAGATTGATTTTAAGGGCATATTGTCTTCCATATAGGGTAACATGACATGCTTTAGTATGTCTGTGTATACAAACTTATCCATAATGCCATCTATTCTATGTAAAGGTCCCATCCCAAACCCTGAAAAGCACCCCCAAACCATAACAGACCCGCCTCCATGTTTGACAGTGGGCAAAGTGTACTTGGGATTCAATCTTTGTCCACTAGGACGTCTAACGTAATCAACACCATCTGATCCAAACATATCGAACTTGGATACGTCACTGAAACATACCCTCTTATAGTCACAGATGCTCCAATCAAGATGCAACCGTGCAAATTGTAATCGGTCCTTACGGTTTTTCCTCGAGATTAGCGGCTTCTTACTCCGGCGACGTGCAAATAACTTCAAATCATTTAATCTTCTACTTATAGTTTCCGTAGAAACACTGACAATTCCTTTTCACTCGATTTCGATTTTTATTTGTCTTGGGGTTTTAAACGGATCTTTGGACGAAATTACTTTTATTAATCTAACTGATCTAGCATTTAGTTTTCTAGGCCGACCACTTCTCTTAGAGGCTTCCAAGATACCTTTTTGTTTATATTTGTTAAATATTGCCCAAACTGCTTTACGCTTCAGCTTCAAATTTTTGGCAATGTCGACTTTACGTTGTCCATCTTTGTATAACTCAATCCTCTTCTGACACGAAACGGTACTAAACTAATGTTGAAAAGAATTTGTCGACATATTTTTGTCCTTCATAAAAAAAGTGTTTATATTCAGACTTGTGTTCATTGCAGATAATGTAAAAACAAGGAATTTAGTTTTTCTGCTAATAACGCATTTGTTTATGGAGCAATGAAGTATGAATTCGTTTTCTAAAGGTATTTAGATAAATATTCATTATGTCTAAATACTTTTGTCCATTACTGTATGTCACATCAGTCATCTTATGAAAATAACGCGAAGAAGTAACTCATCCAGAGATAATATGCACCAGTGATTCCTCCACATGCGCGACCTTGTTTAGATCAATGCCACTTACATCAGAACCTGAACACTCCAAACTAGGAGGCACCAAGTCGTCAAGAGAAAAACGGCACACAAACAGCAAGAGCAAGACGTGAGTTGTCCAGTTTGATAATAAAAAAACAAATAGAGACAACAGAAGCTATTAAACGAAAAGTACATACATTACAAGTGAAGTTACTGACAGCATCTGAGAAAAAGGAAAGAAAATATTATTAGAATCACTAAAAAGAACACCTCTCTTAGGGTGAAAGCGGAAACGTCAAAGACGAAGAAACTTCGCATAGCTGTTGTAAAATTCCTAGAAAGAGACGATAATAGTAAAATGTGTCCTGGCAAAAAAGACTGCATAACCAAAAACAAAATAAAGAAGCAACAAAGAGCTCTTTGAATAACCTTCAGAAGAAATTCCAAAGAGAAAATTCACTGAAAATTAGCTTCTCTTCTTTTTGCAGACTTAAGCCTTTTTGGATTATGTCACGTCAGATTTCTGAAAGAGACACTTGTCTCTGTGTAGTTCACGAAAACATGCAGCTAATGATTCATAAATTAAAATATTTAAATATAATTCCTGATAAGAATGTGCGAGATCTTTGTACTGTGTGACATCAATTCAGAGACTTGTATGTTACGCAGCTGTATGAGTGTATGGCCTGTAAGTATAGAGTTTCAAAAATAAATACTTTTGACGAATGTATTGAAACAACCTATAAATCATGGATCACGCAAAAAGAAACCAGAATAATAGAAGGCGAGGAAAAACAAATACGTAGAACTGTGAAGAGATAAATTAAAATAGCGAAAAAGACGCTGTTCTTGATGTTTAAGGAGGCTTTGGATACATTTTTGCACCACCAATATAATATAACGCGCCAGTACTTAGCCAAACCTTTCTACAGGAGAAATTTTCATACAAGTAGACTTCGCAGAAAATTATTGTTGCAAGTACTCCGACTAAATACAAGCAGTAATTTTGAAGCCTCGAGACAACAGATAGCATGACATACCGCCGTACGAGGGTTGCCTTTTTTGACAACAATTAACCCTGGCTGCTTTCTGTTCTTCAGTCAACAGGTGGGGTATCCAACGAGAAATTAATTTTCTTACTCCTAATTCTTCATGTAAAATTTTTTGAATTGAGATCTTTGAGACCTTCATGGACGCCTCAATCTCGCGATATGTCACATGTCTATCCTCAATGATGAGTTTGCGCACAGCATCGACGTTTTCCTGGGGGACTGCTGTTTTTGGTGCACCCACCCTGAGATCGTCCCTAAGACTCACTCGTCCACGTTTGAATTCTCCATACCAACGGGAAATTGTCGACTGATGTGGGGCTTCGTTGCCGAAAACACACAGTAACTCAGCAAGGCATTCTTGTTGCGATAATTGTAAAGTTCTTTAATTTTCTTTAAAACTGCTTCTCAAATGCAATTAGCAGGCTATATTAAAACTGAACATTTGGTTATCATAAGACTAACTAGTATACATCTTTTTAGAAACAATAAAACTAAACTCATCCCCTCCTCTATTATGTGTGAGAGTAAAACAGTGGCATAGCGTATTGTTAATTTCAGCATTTTTATTGTTCAAAACAATTAGAAAAACTGAAACTTCAGTTAGTATGCTTTTAAATATTTTTTATTTTTCTTGAATTGTAAAACTTCAGAAATGTTGATGCCTCTCAGTTTTTCTGACTCTCTTTGTTAACATTTATCAATAAAGTCACAAGGATTTTTCTAATCTCCCACTCTGAAAAAACTAAATACTTTTTATTATCTTACAGTTACAGATATGTACCCATTACATAATACATATAAAGAATTGTTGACCTCTACTACTATCTTTAAAATGCTTTTATATGATAATAAATGAGTATGTAGTTTTTAAGAGCCATTTTCATTCAACATTTATGTTAACATTATCATAAATAACTTTAAGTTAAGTATACATTTAATAATCACCTGTAAGTTGACTTCAAAACTGTATGTTTAAAATGTACTATATTTAAACTGGTTTTGAAAGTACCTTCATAGCACTTTGTAAAACAGTTGCTAAGAAGAAAGGTTTTATGAAAGTTTTTTATTTTTGGTTTTATTGGCTGCTTTCAGTGTTGGCCCTTTTATGCTGAAGGCAAGTTTATTACAACCTTAATGTTTATTTTAAAACCAATTGGTTTTAATTGCAGTTTTACTTCACAGTTATAATACATCCTTTAAATACTTGATAAACCTGTGACCCTGACAAAGTAAACATATATTTCCTCAAATATAATGTAAAGAGGAATATGGTAGTATTTCTTTGTCCTTGGTCAACTGGTTTTCTTCAGTATTTTAGTTTTTCTTCTGCTAATCTATAATTGTAGATTCACTTATTAAAATCATTTGCTTTCGTTCACTTTCTTAAAATGCCAAATTAAATTTGGCAAAAACTATAGATACTGTTTATATTTGGGTCTGTTGTTGGTGGACTATAGTTAAAGGAAAGAAAGCTATATTACTAGTTTGAAGAATGTACTAATTTAAAGAATGTATGAGCTTACACAAAAAAAACTTCCATGCACAGAGGCAGATTGCATATGTAAGGCTGATGGATGTATAAACTGATGCTAGTACTTTTAGTGTGGCCCAGCAAAAACTGTGATACTGTAATTCTAAATTCTAAAGGTCCTGCTTTTGATGTAATAAACCCTACATATTCAGTTACCTTTGGTAACAATACCCTCACATATCGCTTTTGCCATGTTTCCTCCTCCAATAAAGCCAATCTTTCCATCTAGTGCAATTTTTCCGGCCCCCGCCTGGCCGTTGGCTGATTCTCCGCTCATTTCTGGAGCAATGCTAGCTGCAAAAAAATTTTGTTAATCATCTTATACACACAGCAGCAGTTTGCTACAGTATTGTGTATATTTTAGTATATATACATTTACGTACAACGTATAATAAGGATGGAATTAGATATTAAAGAATACATTTTAAAACAATCAGTATCAAATTATTTTTCCCTGAAGGCACAGACCACAAACCTGAGCTGTGATCGAAGGTGGTATTTCTCGTTTTTTTTCACCTATTTTTTCTTGTTTTCCTTGTGTTTTTGACGACTTTTTGACCACAGTTTTTCCAGCAGAAAGAATTTTGACCACTTTTTGGCACTGACAAGTGACAGTCACACATCACAGGTGAAGCACGAGAGTCGGGATGGTCAAAGTCAAGGATGACAATCAGATAGTACCGCTTCGATACAGAACGAGTTCAAGTCAATAGTCCAGTCAAATAAAGATTTGAGATGTGGGATGTCGCACAATCATTTTTCTCAATACTTTTATCAAGTTTTGATTTCTATTGAGGTGAACAGCTGATGACTAAGTGAAAATTTTGTATTAAAGTGCTGAGGTCTTTACTGCTGGCACTGATGAATCTGGTGAAACACAGAACTGTAGTCAAACCTTCACCAGATCCGATGTTTTTTTTAATGCATATATTTTCATTGACTGGAAATTTCGATAGACTACACATAGAAAAAAAATTCAGAAAAATATTATAGTACATCTGAATTTTGAATTTTTGGCAGCCAAAATTTGGTTTTCTTCCAGATAGGAGTAATAAACAATACTTCAGTATCAATGACTTGTATAACATTAGCTTATTGATTTTTCTATTTAATATAGTTTTTTGTGACGGGAAAAAAGTTTGACATTTTATCTCTGTTGACAGGTAACAAAATGTCACATGAAATTACTTTTTTTCCCGGGAAAAAAATTAGTACTTTTTTCTTTGATATTGAATAAAAACATAAGCAAAGGTAGATATTTAATTTTAGAATATTTTATTATACAATTAAGTTACATTTCCTTTATATCGAATGTGCATTGCATGAATGACATGTTCCTTAAACTATTTGGTACAACAGTCGAGTTTCCTTCTGTTGAAATTATATCTTTTTCTGAGATCGTATCTCCCATTGACGTACTTTGTCGCAAATCTGGTGTTATTTCAGCACTACCACACGTTCTAAACACTTCATTAGCTATTTCTGTTCTGTGTGCTACCGATTCATCAATATACCCTTTAGCGACCGCTGATGACTTCCAACCGTCATGTTTCTTTAGTGTCATCCAGTCTCCCCCAGATTCAACTAAAAGTGTAGCAGACGATCTTCGAAACGAATGTCCTGTATATGAATTAGCATTTTCAAGTTGAAGAAAATTACTCACTGTTTCGGGAACCTTATAAAACTGTTTTTTACCCACAACGTGAATGATATATTTTCCATTGTGATATGCATAAAACTGGCGGCGATCCTTTGCTGCTGCTGGACGAAGGGCTATGTACATTCGGTAAAATTTAATCTATTTTTCAGTAAGTTCAAAAACTCCTGTTTACATTATTCTTTGTTTCCTTAAGTTTCACAATTAATACCGTTCCCGAATCTTCAATATCATCTAATGTTACCTTGCTGATTTCACAAATTCGACAAGCTCCTGCAACCCCAAATACAACAACCTTTGCCATTAAATAAACTTCATCGGGAGCATTATTTAAAAATTCACTAATTTGTGTACTCGTAAAAATCGCAGCATTGTTGGACTTGTAACCTTTCCTATTTTGTTTCAGAAATGTAATTAGTTTGAAAAATTTTGAAATGTCTACATTATTATTGGATCGTACCATACTTTTAATCATTGGATAATCCGACGACACTGTTGATGGCTTTTGTTGTGCCAATTCCGAAAAATAAACCAATAAGACCGTCTCCGAATAAGAACTGCATGTTTTCTTCATCTTCCATTCCATGAATCTTGAATAAGTGGTTTCATAAATTTTCCGCGATTTAGCTGGCAATAATTTTTGTGAGACTACTTTGGCTACTTCTACTATTTCCGGTGGAGTCACATAAAACTCGGAATCCGACATTTTTTACTTTATAGTATTAAAAATAACTTCTAAACAACCACTAAGTTCACAATTTTTTAAATCAAATCACAAAATTAAATTGACATCTGTTTGATTACTTTAAAAGTTTCCTTAGCAGCGCAGGACTAATTGTTGCTATAAGTACAGCATAGCCTACTAATTTCAAATTTCAAATGTCACATCGATAAATTTCTAACCTAAATATTGTAATAATATAATTTTTCAATACTAAATCGTCGTCACAGAAAAAAAATGTGTATTATACACGAGAAAAATAATAGATTTTAGCTTTCGGTTTTTTGTCTAGTACTTTTTTCTTGTATAATAAATAACTATTTATTGGTTTATAGAAGCCTGAGTCTGAGAAAACTTGATTTACATGCATGGCTAAGATACCCCTGAAACCCGACGTCTTCATCCAAGTACAAACCTCGTTTTTGTGGATTGAGAAAATGTAAGTAAGGTATTTCTGATAGATATCTTTAATTCTGATTTAAGGAAAATATGATTTTTCTTAGAACAAAAAACAAGAACTCTCGATTTAGTTGCTTTTAGCCGTAAATTGTGACCTGGCGGGTATTATCGCAATTTTTTTGTATTCGAATGAAAACCTCGTCAACCTCGTAGGGTTACCTGTTGGTGGAGTATGGTCCAAAAAGGAATGCAGTCAAGTCCTAAATAAGGTCATTTAACATTTCTAAGAGATGGCAATAAGGTGTTGTTATCTGAGCGCAAACACTTTTAGGGATTGGGGTGGGCACGTAGGTGGGCCATTACTTTCAAAGAGGTGGTTGTCGCTCATCTGGGCATGTCCGGCATCAAGTTTGGTGACGACGAAGGGCAGTATCCCACGGAGCTTGCTGGATTTGGAGACCCATTGTATCTGCCACTAGTTCTGCATGTATTCTCTCGGAAGCCATTTTCAAATTCTTCCAATAGTTGGTCTTTCTCTAAGTAACATGTTAACCTTCTGCTTAGTATTTAGTTAACACATAGCGCATATTAAGGATATCGGTCTATAAGATGAAGGATTCTCAGGCGCTTTGTTTGGTTTGACCAAACAGATTACTATGGCTTTGGACCAGGAAACTTGAAACTATCTGTTAAAATAGGCCTTGCTTTTCTCTGAAGGTACTTTATGAATAAGTAGGGGATGTCATCTGGACCTGGACCTGGACCTTGCTGATCTAGTGTCTTCTTCAGCCTACCGACCAGATTGTGTAAGGCCAGATCAGTCGATTTCCCAGCTTGGTATGCAAACTGATTTGCATGAATGACACACCTTTCCAGCGGGCCATCCCTTAAGTATCTATCAACTATCCTTACCAATGTCTTAAGCACAAAAGATGAAAGAGAGTAATCGGACGAAAATCCTTCGGGCCAGCATATCTAGCTCTGCCCGATTTAGGAATGAATACCACTTTAGCCTGCCGCCAGCTTCTAGGTGTGAAGCCCGTGGCCACATATGCTCGAAACACCTTCAACAGGTGAGGAACAACCGAACTCCGTCCCTGCTGTAACATGGCCGGAAATACGCCGTCCATACCTGGACTTTTGTATGGAGCAAACAAATCTATCGCCCATACCATCCTTTTCAAGGTGACAATCTCCCTAGCCGTGCGCCAGTCCTCCCCTGAGGGCCTGCGCAACTGCATGCACTCTATGATTGATCGCGCTACTGTGGAACCGGGGAAGTGCGTAACCATCAGAAGCCTCAGAGTACCTTCCTCAGTAGTATTCCCTCCCGAGAGATCATATAGAGATCCCAATCTTGCTTTAATGTCTTCGCATAGGACCCTGTGTATTCCAACAGTAGCAGAAATGTCATTTATGGACTGACAGAAGTTCCTCCAGAATTCTCTGGTGGTCCTTCTAATCTCATTTTTGTATTCCTGCAAGGCCTTCTTGTAGTCTTCCCATAGAGGAGAACTTCTCCCGTGCTTAACTCTGCTAAGAAGTTTGTGCACCGCTCGTTTTCTATCCTCTAATTCATTGGACCAGAAGGTTGACTTGGCCTTACCTTGAACTTTGTCGTCAAGTCCCTGCTCAGAGACTCGACGGCTGCTTATATATCAGAGCCCCTTCACAGTCTGCTGTATGGGACCGCTCCAAGCTTACTCTAAAGGTCTGCCCTAAAGGACCCCCATCTAGTTTGCCTAGGATTCCGAGCATATTTAACTGGAATCTCTCCATCAGTCTTAAACAGTATATACCTGTGATCCGATAGAGAGGGAGTTAGATACACTTTCCAGTCCCTAATATCCTGAGCTAAGTTAATCGTGCCCAGTGTTACGTCGATGACCTCTTCTCTGACACTATTGCTGAAAGGAGGCTTGTTACCGTCATTCAGAACCTCAAGGTTCGATGCCCCTTGGAACTCCATGAGGTCTTCGCCCCGTCTGTTGATGTTCGAGCTGCCCCACATGACGTGATGGGCATTGCTGTCGCATCCAATCACAATCACGAGGTCGAGTCCAGAATCCCTACAGAATCCGACAAAGTCCCCCAGTTCTTTAGACGGGAGGAGGTTCTCTTGAATCGTAAGGAAGGTAAGCCGAACATACGACCAGGTCCCTGTCAGAGCCTTCCTTCTTATATCTAATTCTAACTGCATCTAAGTCTCTGAAGGTAAATTCTTTAAGTTGCCATGTGTTAATGGAAGTCATTACGCAAGCTCTGGGCTGAGTGTCCGGAGTATCGCTAAAAAGCGTATAGCCCGGTACACTGAGCCCGTTTACTGAACCGTTTCTCAGCCAGGGTTCCTGGATGAGAGCCACGTCATGTCGGCCTCGAGTGATCTCCTGAGTAAGGGCCCTCGAAGCCGCTATGCAGTGCTGTAAGTTGATTTGAATAAAATTAAGACTTACCATGGTTATTGAGAGGCCCTTCCTACACCTTCCCGAATGACAATATGTGTCCCCTATTCGGGTGTACGGTCGTCGCCGCCGCAGTCTTCACTGTCGCAGCCGCCTTCATCTCGCCGCGATGTTTTCTGCGGATATCCCGGCAGACCCGTCCCTTGTGAAGGAGGCTGGTCTATCGCCACAGCTCCCGTCGGTCTGGTCTGGTCCGACTCCTGGTTTGGAACCAGGCCAGTTCCAGCAGGTGTCGCCCCGATGTTTTTCTTCTTACTCAGGAGTGTAAACACCCTCGAACTTCCACCGCAACACAGCCTGTTGCCGTTACCTTCAATGATCTTCCAGCTTATGGAATTCACTGAGAGGACAAGTCGGAGGCCTTTGTGTTCCTCCTGCCTCTCCAGTAGCCTCCACGCGCTGGAAAAAGTCCCAGGATTGTGCCTCCTGAGTCTCCTCATTTCCCTGGTTGGGACCCGGAAACAACGCCTTCACGCGGTGTTATATGGGAAGGTCTTCAAAGCTCATCGAAATGAGCCTTGCGCCTTCCCACGCCCGCAGATCCCCCATGTGGGCCTCCAACCAGGCCCCAGAGGATTCGGCCTCGCAGTCAAAGATGGCTGCTCCTCGAGAGAGGTAGCAATCAATGTATCTGGGAAGGGACGCCTCATCTCGGAGCCCATCTATCAGCGCACTGACCACCTCCTGGACCTGCTGCACCTGTGCTTCCGTAAATTGACTCCCAGGATAACAGCCGGCCACGACAGCCTCCCTGAGACCCGATTGGGATGCACGCGCATAGCTAATTTGCGCATGCGTCGCAGTACGGGACTTCTTCCGCAAGGATGCGCCCTCCACCCTCCAGTGACACAACGGTAGACCTCTGCCGCTTCCCGTCACCAGGCTGCTTTAGGGCATCCGCTGACACACCGGAATGCTCTCTAGCTATGTTTCTGACAGATTACTCTGTCAGAGTACGATCAGGGCCCCCTGGGTGTACGGGGTCCCCTGGTGAGCGGCCACCCGGGTGTTCGGGGTCCCCCGCGGGGTTTTTATTATTTTTGTCGTGTTCCATATTGTTACACGGACCCAAGGCTGGATACTCGGGGAGGTCGCCCGGTCTCCAGAGGTTCCGTTTAAGGCGGTGCATCCCTTCCGCCACGCACCCCGCGGCACGGAACCGCTTAACACCTTGGGTTGGGTATAGTACCATTGCCCACGATGACCGTTGAGCTGCAGGCGTCCCAGATATACATCCGAGACACCTGTGGCCCAACGAATCATTCGATTAGCCGGGCTACCGGCTTTACGGTGGGTCTCAAAAATTGATCGAGGCGGTCCACTGCAAGACCGGCACCCGGTTGCCCCCCCACCCCTACACGGTCGCACACGGTTCAGCGCCCAAGGCCGCCTCGCAGAATGAACTAGAGGACGTACGGGTTGGATTTTGTAGGAGCTCAAAAGGGATAAGAAGGTCCACTTTCCGTTGAAGTTCAAATTTGAACTTTTCTTAAATGTTGCAATGGGGTATGTATTGTTTTGCCAGATTTTTAATTGTTAATAGTATGTTGCCTTCTTTATGATCATTAATAGACCTGTTCGTACGGCAGTCAATCTGCCAGTGACCATACCCCTTGAACCCGCTACGCAAGTTCCGTTCACTCTGCTACTCTATATAGACAAAATTCACACAGCCGGATCCCAGATACGCAGTCACCATTGCACGAACAAACCTAATGCCAAAACCTACAAGCTGCACAATATTTTTGTCAACAGAACTTATTATTTCTATAAACCAAACATTAAAATAGATGAGAAGAGATATTACATATTTTTAGAATGCTATATAAATAATATGATATTTATTATATGTGTGGTGAGGACAGGATTTATATTTAAACATGTACTAGGTAGAAAAATTCAGTTTTCATTCTTGATAGGTGACGATTTTTTTGTGCCACGGTGATATCGTCGTAATGATGTTCTCGGGTCGCATTTGATAAAAACGCATTGCTCCACGGTTCTGCTTTGACAGAACTGGAGTTCACCTATGAATAGCTTTCTAGTGGTAAGTTTGAAAGTCATACAACTGATATGTTCCTAAACTGCTCTAGAAATTGTGCATGGGAATACAAAGTACAGTTGAACGATATTTGTGTTGAGCACTACTGAGTTACTTCGAGTAACTCAAGTGGGTCATTCGAAAGCAGCTCTGATAATATTTGAACCCATTTTCGAGGTGTTAATTTTTATTATGACTGGACTATGAGTATCGACCTATTTGTTCGTTACTATTCGTTACGTGGTATGACATCTGACATCGGTCAGATATCATTTAACCTCAAAAATTGTAAATTTCATACAAATATTTTCTAATTTAGATCACATATACAAGTATGTTATTTTCTGCAGAAATTACTGATTTTAAAATAGTGTACAATGTTCTACGATCAATTGCAATTAAAGATGTATGTATTACGTATTATCTAAATCAAAAAGGTATAATTTTATGTTTTTTAGTTTGTTCTTTTGCGCCCCATGGAGGAAGGTCTGAAACTAACTCTTGATGAAATGAGATGTGTTGAGACTTCTGCCTACATGCCTAGAGAAATGTTCACAGCATACCATGTTGCTCAAGCTAAAGATGTTATACTAAAAGTGAGTTTGAAGGCTTTGGTAGATGTATTGAACATTTTTGGAGAAGACTGTAGTCCCAACTTGAAAGTAATGATGTCCTATAAGTCAGAGGGATCATCATTATGTATAGAGTAAGTAAACCTTGGCTTGTGATTTCATATTTTCTGTTTCTTTCAACAGTTATTTTGATGTATTGTATATGAAGCATCATCACTATAACATACACCTGTATTATTTAAGTGAAGCTATGATTATGGCAAGAAAACAAGAATACTAGGCAATTCTTTTTAGTATGCAAGAACATGAAGAAAATATAACTATTAACTGTGAGTTGAAAACTCTAACAGTAGATGATGCAAATCAAATCAGCTTAGCAGATGAATGTAATCTAAACAAGGTTGTGTTGAATGCCCAAATATTTGCTGAGCTGTTAAATAGATTAGACAACTCAGCAGATGAGTTGAAAGTTGTTTTGGGTCCTGATCCTCCATATTTTACTTTGAGCACAACAGGCATTGCGGTAAGTTAAGTACAACATTCTACTTCCCTCCTAGAAGTAGACAATAATTATCTTGGATATTGATAGGGTTACCAGACACTCCTGCTTTACGTGTGATTACCACAATTTTCCACGCCAAATTACCCAAATGTCACGTTTTTTGAATTCAATAGAGAAGAAAAATGTGATTTTGACTTTTGACCATACAGTTCATTGTTTTTATTTATTCAGTTGTATATTTGTTTGATTGGTGTGTGAGCAATTGGTTTTTGCTTCCCACAAAAATATTGCATTTCATTTTAATTTTACTATAAAACTATAAATTTAAATTGAGTTTTGTCTGATTCAGATTTATCTGTTGAAAATAAAACTTCTACAAGTACTAGTAAAAGTGAAGCATTTTTAAAAACAATAGTGCTTAAAACTTAGAAACATTCTTGATTTTACGCTTTCTTTATCACACTCAAATGCATATTTTAGAAACAAACCTGCATTAAAAACTGCAGAGAGTGGGCCACATATAAAATACAATTTTTCATTTACCTGCACATAGTTTAAGAAATACTGTCTTATAAAGAATGACAATGGTTTGTTGCTAAAAATAAATAATTGAGAATTAATCTTAAAGTGTATAAGTTTTCATTTGGTTTTGAGAATTTATTTTGATTTTTTTTGTGTTTGGATTGAGGTAATTAAATCCCTTTAGGATTTTACCCTACAAAAAGAAACTGTCTGGCTATTTCTCTGACTGTTTGAGTCCTTGTATTTTATATAATTGATTACACTTGAGGGGCACTGAGTTGAGTTATATAGATCCCTTATAATGAAAATCAAGTTTGATAAACCAGCCATAAGTATATTTTGTAGCAGGAAACACAATTTCTGAAATTTTTACAGGGTGAATCTCAAGTAAGTATCTCAAAAAACTCAGATTCAGTAACAGTATTCCAGTGCAGTGAGCAAACTGTGTCAACTTATCAGTTTTCTAACATCAAATTTATACTAAAAGTGATGGGGTATGCAGACAAAGTAGCTGTATCAACAGGATCATCAGGTTTGTTGGGGTTACAGCTTGTTATTACATCTGAGGACAAGCAGATGTATGTAGAATATTATGTTACTGCGCAATATATGAACCATGATACTTGAAGTGTTAAAAGAGTCATTGAGCAAAACATTTATCACATCACCTTTCAAAGATTATACTTGTTCACCACTAATCATGTTAGGTGAGTTTTTCATGGGCTCATTCAGAAAACTGCTGTGCTGAATTACTTTTTGTGATTTAATATTGGATAGTAATCAGTGTCAAATGGATACTGACAAATCAAATTGACATTAAATGTATTATGACATAAAGTTCTTCTAAAAACGTGATTATGAATGATATTCTAAATAAAAAAAATCATAGCTTTATAGTAGTTTTCATACGATTATTCTGAGTATGTTGAATCATACCATTGGAAAAATTGTTTTATCATATCATTCATTCGCAGGAAAACTGTCACAACCCAAAATAGTTAAATTTTCAGGAAGGGCAGTTGAAATGATGATGTCAGTGCCGTAAAGGAATTCTGCCTCAAGATCGAAGTCATAATTTTTTTGTTTTTAACAAAAAAGTGTCACTTTTTGCCAAATTATTTGATACAATTTTTAAGATGAAACACACATTGATACTAAAAAACATTTATTACAACTTCCAGGCTACCTTATGAACCTAGAAACAATATGTAAAAAGAAATCATTCATCAAACAAAAAGGACAAAAATGTGAAGCATGCCTAAAAATTAATTGAAAATAGGTGAAAAACATAAACTTCGAAACCTAACCTTGATTGCCTCTGTAATGTATTAGCGTAAATTGGTAACTCTTAAACTTACTGTACCATATTCAGAAATACAATCTTTACTCCCATCTTAGCTGTACCGAAACGCCTCTAAAAATGTGAAAATATTTCCTTAAACTGTTTTTGAAAATTGCAGCAGTGCAAGTGCAGCCGAAACTGTGTAAAGTTTGTATGCCTTCATACAACTTTAAACTAGGTACAAATAGTTTTTTATTACCTCATAAATTTTTATAATAATCTAAATAAACTCATGGTATGGTTGACTTATTGGGATTTTTAAATAAGGATAATGAGTTCTTCTTTTTTTCACATATCCCTGGTTTACGTTGGTATGCTTTTTTTAGCAAGACCGATTGATTATTGATGTCTTGATGCCTTCTTGAGGGGGCTCTCACAATTATCTTTTTGTATTCCATTTCACTGTACGAATTTTTGTAAAATACAGTATGCAAGTGATCCTTGGATATCATAATAACCTTTACTTGAGAAAGCTTGAAAGCTTCATTATCTGAATTTTTGGTGAAATTATTGTACTCCATTTGGAATACCAGATTTCTCAAATCAAAGAAATCTGCATGACACATTTCTGTAACTTTGTATGGATTTCCTGTTCTTTTAGCTGTAAGGATTAGACTGTAATATTGTTCAGGGGTGTATATGGGAGAAGACTGTCGCCGAGATTCTGACTGTGGCCTGTTATAAGATATTTATGGCTAATGCTCCTTATATAATTGAAGTGTGAAATAGCGTAAAGATACACTGCCAACAAGAATCTATTTTTCTGTTGGCCTCCACAGTTATCACTGTAAAATACAACATCAATCTCTGCTTGCTGTGATTCAGCTCTAGTATTAATATTTTCTAGGTATTTGAGCACGCATGTCCCAATTTGGTCTGCACCTCTGTGGGCATGGCCTTCATACCAAACATAGCAGTTCACATCTTTCTTTTGCAGATCAAAAATTTTGAAGTTATATACATTCAACTTTGATATATAGTAGAAACTAGACGTCTCTCCTCTGGGACAGGGAAGTCTTGCTTGCAAGTCATACACGGCTACGTGTATATCAGAATTTTTGTATTTTTCTTCTCTTGACAGTTCGTTTTCTTTATAATGCTCATTATACTGCTTATATTGGGAAGCTTTCTCTTCTTCACTCATTTGTTCAAAAGCAGTACAAAAGTCGCACTGCTCTTTCTTTGGAACAAAAAAGGATAGGTTAAAGTCTTCATTGAATATTTTGAAATACATAGTGTAGTTAGCAGGTGTAACCTTTTTCTCTTCACAAAGCAGTACATACTCTCTATGCAGGTCCGCTATGGAGTGTCCTCCTTCTATAAATTCTCTGGTCGTATTTGAGCGCGCATAATGACTTCCTATCTTCGGTATGCTTATATGACTTCTTACTATATTTTTTATCTCTTCGTCCAATTTTCGATGCTTTCCATGCCTACATCGTCAGGTTCTATGATTTGCCCAGTTGGAGCCAATGCCTTTTTTGAGCCACTGTTCGAATCGGTCTGTCGTTTAAAGCTAGTGTAGCTTTAAAAAAACATTTACATACGCAAGTCCTTTGGTTGTTGAGGATGAAGTAAAAAGCATTATTTTGTTGGCGATGGTTACCGTCCCGCTTATATTGATACTTAGGCTGAACTAGGGTCATACTTATGGCTAAAAAGTCGCCTTTGTAAATCGCCTAAGCCCCAATATTCTGAGAAAAGAATTTTGCGATTTTCCTCTGTGAATTTCTTGCTGCACTGCAATTTGCATTTATCTCCATAAGGTGGCAGAACGGTCCTAGCAGGGTGCATTTTTCTGGATTTTGAAATTGACACGTATTCTTTACCTACGTTTCTTAGAGCTTTTGCAGCATTTTTTTGCCACTTTTCGGGAAATCATAAACGCTTTCTTCCAATTTTGATTGTTTGACTGCGATTCACTACTTTTCTAGCTACACTTGAGCAACTGTGCAAGCTTTGGTCAATCTCTCCTTTAAACCCTCCGGTGGAATCACTTGATGATGAAGATTTACTGGTGATGGAACTGAAAGCTGGGTCAGCTCTGGAGTCCTCCGAATGAAATGAGTCTTCTTCAGGTCCAGAGTCACGGTTTTGCCCATTGCTTGTTACAGGTTCTGACACTTAGTTTGGCATATTGCCATGTTCTCTTTCTGCATTTCTAGGGCATTTTCCACCAACTTCCTTGTTCGATTACTATACTACATAACTGAAAATCAGAATAAATCGTATCACTAGCATAAAAATCATTTTTTTGCTTTTTCAAGGCAAATCACATTGATGTGGTATGAGAAACTAATAATTTTGAATAATTCCTTGATATACATGGAATATTATGTACTCAGTCGATTCCCGAGCTCCAGCCTGATCAGCAAAATTCATTAAATTATATTGTGATCTGGTACTTTAAGCTCAATCTGTCAATGTGGCAACATCAGAGTCAACACGTCGGATTACTCTGAAAAATATACCACGGAAACAACGGTCAGAGCCAGTTTGTTGCTATTTTGCTTATCCTAACTCGATACCCAGCTGGACACATACATAGGTGACATCTTGCCATGCTTAAATAAAGTCAAATAGTGTATTTTGAACCACTTTATGAGAAAGTAGGCATTACCGTAGAAACAACTTGTGTGCTCTGGGATCAGCTTAAAATATAGTGACTGATGCACCTGAAAGTGACAAAACTGAATATTGTGAAAAGTGAAGGTATACCTTCTAGAGTCCACTTCAGCGAAATACCGACACCTTTTCAGATGCTGCACAAAATAGCATGATTTCGCGATCAATTTCAGAACATAACTGACACAACATTAAATGTGACTGTCTAGGAAATAAATTTTAGAATATTTTCAGGCTTACCTTTTCTAGAATGAGGGCACAAATCGAAATATAACAGTTTTCGTCCAAGAATTGTGCTTAAAAAAACGTAGTAACACAAAATAGTACACTTTTCTTCAACAGCTCCGAAAAACATAAGCGTGCTAATCTGAAATAGAACGGTTTTCCACTCAAAGCTAGAACGTTCCCCTATGACGACTGGATCATTGCTGCATTGTGTCGGTTTAGACCTGTAAGGGGTTCCTAGAATACGTCAATTCAAAGACGACACAAGTGCCATCTGTTGGTAGTTTGAGAGGGATGCGACATTTTTCCACATATTAAAGTAGATCATTCTCGATCTTTTGGTATAGCAATCTTTTCATCTTTTTTGACTTGTGACGGTTTTCCTGCGAATGAACGATATAGTTGTATAAATTACCTTGTAATAAATAGTTTCTTGTGGTCCACAGCAAAAAATTAATAGATGTTCTTGATTCTGAGTTACTAACAGTTACTACATCAAAAACTCTCCATACCCTGATGATTCAAAAACAGTGTTGGCTGTTAAACAAATCCTTATGTTTGATCTGTTGACTGTTATCATAATAATTCAAGTCCATTGCTAAAATGTACAATAATGTTTTTCCTGTTTATGCTTTTGACCAAGAAATATATGCTTATCACCATATGAAAAGATATTGATCTTTAACACTATTGAAACTTCATTAAGGTATCTTCACTTGATACACATTTTTGTGACATGTCACCTTTCAGATACTGTTTTGTTTCTCATGTATACTAGTGAATTGTAATGATGTTAAATAACTTGCGTGGTGAGATGAGGAATACGCAAAACATAAGGTTTTTAAAAAAAATCCAGAAAAGCAGGTTTACTGGTATATATCTAATTTCTTATGAAATGGTTGAATAATTTATAGTTATTGGAAGTGCAACCATTGGTTCATTTTATATGTTACATATTTGGTTCCTGAATTACCTGCCTTAACTATATATAGTTTTTTAAGTATAAACACAATAGTTATTTGCTTTGAAGTAGATACGATGGTGGATCAAATATAAACCGGAATTTTACAAATACTTTTCTTAGCCAATCGCGAGCGCTCTCACATTGTAGGTCCTTGCAAAGTAGTGTATTAGGAGTGAGCTGTTTCACTCAGTCAATGCATCAGTAAAGCCATGAGTGAGCAACCGATTTTAACGAAGGAAGGCGTTAAATCGTACGAGATGTTGGCTCGATTGAACGCTCAGTATGAGGATGATACCCTGTCTAAAACTCGGGCATTCGATTGAGCTAGAACGTGCAGAAAATGTGAGTCATAATCGACGTCCAAAATCAAGTGTTTATGGAAAGACGAAACCGGCCCCGTGAAAGCCAAAACCCGTCTCTCAGCCGGTAAGGTCCTCGCGACCGTCTTGTGCGACTGCAAGGGAGTGTTGTTCATTCATTTTCTACACGACCGACGTACAGTTAATGCTACCTACTACTGCCAGCTATTCTAGGCAGTGAAAGCCGCATATCCCATCAGAAATGTCATCCTCCTTCATGACAATGCCAGGCCACATACAGCCGCTGAAACGAGGCAAAAAGTGGAGGATATGCATTGGGAAATTCCTGAGCATCCTCCATACAGCCCCGATTTGTCACCCCTTGTTTGCGTCCATGAAAGATGTACTTGGGAGGATTGCGATTTGACAACGATCGAGATGTGGAGAACTTCATGCGCAACTGGTTTGTCACTCAACAAAAACCAAGTTTCTATAAGCAAGGAATTTGTAAGCTTCCAAATCGCCGGTAACCATGTGTAGAGCGTGAGGAGATTACATAGAAAAAAAGTAAACAGTATTTTTGTATTGTCTCATGAATAAATAAATATTAAAAAAAATCCGGCTTATATTTGATCCTCCCTTGTATTTGATTCATGGATCGATCTATAGATCATCTCGGGGATGAGTTTTGCGGTTATTCAGTCAATCCTTAATGGAGTGAATGATGATTGCTATTGAATGATATAATATAAACCAACCCAAAGTGTTAAGCGACCCGTGCGGATGGGTGCGTGGCGGTGGGTTAGCACCGTCATTAACGGAGCCTCTGGGATACCGGGCGACCTCCCAGAGTACTTGGCCTTACGTCTGTACAGGGGGCTCTACAGACGCGGACCGTTTTTCCCCCATACTCGTGGGAACATTATGGACATTTCTAATTATAATATTTCAAACCAAACTCAAAATAGTGATATTAGCATGGAGGCGGAGTCGAGTCACAAAGGTAAGACCTCTGTGGACATACAAGCTGCTTCAAATTTAAATTCTGCAGAGCTACGAGAAGATTCAAGCCAAACAATTAACCAACTAACGAATAGGATATATAAGACTGCAGCCACTATAAATGTCGCTAGTAACCTCAAAAGTGTTGTTTCGGATTTGTCCGTGGATACACAGCATGTAAAAGTACAACTAGAAAATGACACAAAACATCATAAATATACTTACACAAGACAAAAGCCATCAGAAGATACGATCTATGCCAAAATTGACAGCAAAATTGAGTGCATTAAACTGCAGGAAAACGCAAATCAAATTGTAGAGGATGGCGTGCAAAATGCGTCACGTAATACTTCTAAGTCAGAAATTATTGACCATGTGCAGACTGCACACAAACATGACTCATCATTGAATATACAAGAAAGGTCTCCTGTAGATCCTATGGCCGCTCATAGCAATTTAGACCAACCCCAAAGAGTTGATGGAAGAAATGAGTCGAAGATCTCAGTTACAACTTTGTCAGTAACTTTCTCGGATGATGAGAATAGAATAGGAATTGAATCTGTGACGCAGGATAATGAGTCAAACCAACCTTATAGCTTTGACACAAATTTGGACTCCGAACCCTCTGGTATGGACAAACGAAGTGCTTCAAAAGTAGACTCCATAGTACTCAGTGATGACTCAAACTATTTTAGAGATGGTGATACGGAAAAACAGATTTCAAGTTGCTCTGCTACATCAAATACCACTATGAAAGATGAAACTTTTAACAAATGTGCGGCATTAGGTACCCGGGGTACTTTATACATAAGCACCACTGAACTACAGGAAAATTCAAATCAAACTCTCGGAGGTGACAGAAAAAGCCGGTCAAAAACTACTTCTTTAATAGAAGTTATTGTAGGCGGTCACAAAAATGATACACCAACGGACACTTATCTAAAAGCATTGTTTAAAGATTCTTCGACAGTGCAGGATAATTGTGACCAAACTCAAATTGGTGACTTAGAAAAGAAGTCAGAAATATTAACTACTTTGGGAACCATCGTTGATTGCACTAGTCGTAAAAGCGAACACACGGATATGGAAGAGGCTTCAGAAAACGATTCCATGGTACAGTATAAAGATTTGACGCAGCCTCAAAACAGTGACACAAGTAAAGTGTCAAAAATCTCTGGTTGTATACCTACGACCACGGATAACGCAACTAGTCACAAAGGTGGTGAATCCATGGCTGTTCAGCGTACCCCAGAAACAGATTATAAAACCGACGGCGACGATTTAAACCAAAAGCAATGTGATAATGAGGTAAAAGAGAGTTTAATATTAGAAACTGCCGTTGAGGTTACGAGTGACCCCAAACGTAACACTAGAGACACACAAGGCTTAAAAGGTTTTGAGGTGCACCAGAATGACTCACATTGTAGTATCTCTACATCGAATAATGCCGTTGGAATACTTATAACTGATAGGCACACTATTAGTAGTGAGGCTGATGTTGAAGATGTAGATTCTGTAGGATTAAAACGTGGGTTGGACCAACTAGAGAGTGATTTGACAGTTATTTCAAGTACCTTTTCTGGTGGTAGCGCTACAATTACAAGCAGTAGCGCTGCTAAAAAGATGCATGTGAAAACATGCCAAGGAATAGAAGGCTCAACTGAAGAAGAATTGTTAGAAAAACGAGATGTTAACAGTGGTATGTCTTCTTCAGGGAGCATTGTTTCAATGACGCGGGAACAGCTCAAAAAAAATAAAAAGGCCCGGAAAAGGAAAAGAGCTAAAGAAAGGAAAAAGGCTCGGGATGCTGCAGTTCTGCTAAGGAATAACATTGACCCGAAAAAGAGTCTTGAAGGACCTTCTCGGACAGATAGTGAAATGAATCATGTTGACTTTGAAAAGTCCTGCGTTTGGCCGCCTGATAAACCGCTAAAGAATGATTTTGTACCAAGAACTAACCAAGAACCTCTTCGGAAGATTATCAAAAGGCCTTTTGATTCTATTGGAACTGCTTCTCAGATACCTGGGACTAGTAAAGCCAGACAAACATTACACACTTGGATGCCCGAACATCGAAGGAACAATCTTGATCTAGGAAAAGGGTACGAAGAACCCTTTCGTGAAGGTTCTCAAGATCCTCGTCATAACTTTGGCCAAATATCTGGCCGCAGGAGGTCAATAGAAATAGCAGATAGTAGCTGGATGCCCGAGATGGCACGACAGAAAAATTTTGACACAAGGAAAAAATATGACGAATCGTCCAAGAAAGGTACCAAACGGTCTCATGATGATTTTGAAACGTCTCGTCAAATACGTGAACCCGAACATCCGAGTGAAAGTAACGGTCAAAGCAGTAGCAGCTATATACCAATATTTATACAAAGTCGGCATTTAGGTGCCAAATTAGACCAGACCAGGGTAAACGAGATACTATATCACCTTGGACGGTTAATGCTAACTAATCCTCCTAGTAATATCGCGCTTCAGTTCAATCGAGCTTATCTCAAAAATGATTCTCTCTACGTGACATGCGCTAATAATCAGAGCATTGAGTGGATCAAGGAGCAGATTGCCCTAGACGGCAACTTCTGGGATTTAGAAGTAGTTGATTACAGCCAACAAAAGGCCATTGTGGTTGTTTTTGTGCCAGAGACAAACAAACAATTGCAAGAGGTCAACATCCGAGCTCGCCTACTGAAGCAGAATAAATGCCTTAAAGTAAATAGTTGGCGTCTCTTGAACACCAAAATACACGAGGGCAAAGGTGTTACTCTTAGCTATTCTATTAACGAAGTCGCATTTAAGGCATTAAAAATGCAGCAGTTTCGTGCTTATTACATGATTGGAATGGTTACTTTCAAAGTAGTTAAACAACTTCGTTAAGAGATTGGGAAGCACTTGGAAAATTATTGGCGCCTTTGAGCTATTCCATTGATGAAATGTTATTTAATGCATTAGAAAATCAGCATTTGAGAGCATACTGGTATTGTTAAATTCCAGGTAGCTTGACAACTTGACTGAAAGTGTAACCTTATAAGTTATAAAGAAGATCGAACATAATGCTTAGCTGCCATATTACTGATCACCGAATTTTTGGTAGCTGCAGCCTTTTCATGGTTTCTGCTAAAGATTTCAACTATCTTGCTGATATCGAATAATTAATTTTAGCAAAGATGAAACAAGTAGTGAATATCACATTGCGTAACGTATAATGATGCAGGCTTATCAACGTCTGCATTATTTCTGGATGAATTCCGTCAAAGCAGTAGCTGCCAACTATAGTAATTAAGCTGTAATTAGAGTCAAAATTTGAAGTCTACTAGAAAGAAACCTTATCATAAAGGTTCACAAGGCTTTAGATCTTGATACACATACTGTACTGTTATCATACGTGGCACTGAGCTGAGTATGTATTTGTAAAATAGTTTCTTTATAAAATGATGTATACCAACATTCATAATAATCCTTCATGGAAATAAATATGTGTATGTATTGTCACATTATTTGTATTTTTTCTAAATCTGATGAGAAGTTGAACATGTTATGAAATCACTCATTTTTTTTTTTATTTTTAATCGTATATTGAGTTGCCTGGAAATCTATCGAACCAAATAACTTGTATTTATTGGGTGCATTCGCAGTGTGATTTTTAAATATAATGTATTATTTAGCTTTAAGGCATTGATAGAAAAATTGCATTTGTTCTAATTTTACATCCAAACTGAAGTGCTACCCAGCATATGTTTATTTTTATGTGGATGAATAAATATATATATATATAAAACAATATTATAGTTTTTTTCAATGACGAAGTGGTATTGTATATAATCGGCAACCCACCAACTACCTTTTTTATCTCCTATTAAAAATAGAGAGGTGGCTATCAAGTCATCACTTAATCCAACGGTTTCAGGGTTTCATGAATGTCATACACAAATGCATAGTTGTTAAAACATACAGTATTTTTGTTTATCTCACATTGGAACGGAAGATAATTGGAGAAATGAAACGGATTACATTTATTAAAATGATGTTTTTATTTAAGCAAAAATAAATCCTTTTACGGTTTTAAAGAAACATGCTAGCAAATTTACATTAAATATGTTAAAAATGACGATTCATGATCAGAAAATTTTCTTTTCCTTAATTAATATATCAGTATCTTTGCATTATGTGTTACTGTTTGACTATTTCAAATGCCCTTATAAGTCCTCTATCCAGTGTCATTTAAATTCATATGTCAGACATTGTTTTGTCATATGCTGTGTCTTTGTATCCTGTGGAACTCGCCTTGTATCTTCATCAAAAGCAATTCATTCAATATCATTTCGTTCTCTATTCTAACGTAATCACATTTTTTGATCAGTATGAATTTCCGTTTTCCTAGAAAATAAAACCCTTGTATTATTATTCGGCCCGATTTTCTCGATCATCAATGTTGTCATATTCACAGTTATCTTTGGACTCAACTTTTCGTTTTCCGCTTTGAGAAATTTATAGAGTGGCTCAAAGTACTCCAGTAAAGGTTGTGCTGACACTACTTTTGATCCTGTCATTATTTCGAGTGTTTCACTCCAGTGCTTGCTGGCTCCTAGTGACAATCCGGCCCTTGAAAGGTAAAAATTCACATGTAAAAAAAACGGATAGATAAGTAATAATCTAATGTTAAGGTGAATTTTAGTCTTCCTTCTTCTTGTCAGTCAGAATATGCAAATTCATTTCTGCAATGATGGAATTCACAGCCTCTTTTAAGGGGTAACACCACTGTATCGCCCTGGAACGTTTTTTTTGTAATTTTCTGCGTGGAAGAAAAAGAAGTTATGGTGCACATATTTAAAACAAAAAAAAAATATATATAAAGTTCAAAAATGCGTTTTTCTGGAAACTCGGTTTTTCAAAACCGCACGCAGCACAACTAGAACAATAATATTGTAAACACATATTTAAGTTAATTTTTTGTTTGTTGCAGATTTGTTCAGCATTAATGCAACAAAGTCAATTTTGTATGATTATTCGCTTACACATTTTTCTTCAATCCATTTTCCGTAATTTTACATTCCTGTCTACCAAAATTACATCACTATGCATTTTGAGTATTCATAAAGTGATTTTTTAATTTCACCTTAAACATTTTTACATTCGAACACTGTTTAATATCATGATTCAATTTATTAAATTAAAATGCTCCCTTTTGAAATACGGATTTGCTAGTTATTCTTCTATTACAATTTTGCAGATGAAAATCTATACTGCCTCTAGTTTCGTAGTTATGATGATGACTATTTAATTTTGTGAAGTTTTCTAAACCTGGTGGTAATAAATGATTTTTTAATTTGAATATGAAAATGAGAACTAAATGACATATGAAATTTTTCTCATTAAACCACTGTAGTTCTTCTACCATAGACTCAATTCTAGCATATTTGTTTTTATTTAAAATTAAACTCATAGCTTCATTTTAAACAAAACGGTTGAACAATATAAAAAATGGGGAAGAATTATAGTGTTATACACATTTTTTTTAATACATACTAAGAGCATGGGAAACTAAGAAGCAATTTATCTTTTTTGATATTTTGGAAATAATGTATTCATAATGCTCGTGAAACTGTAATAAATATCTGGGTATATATGCACATATATATCCAGATATTTAAATGATTCGACACTTCAATTTTTTCATCATTAATCATGAGCCTAATTGTATTGTCACCTAAGTATTTCCCTATTTACATACATTTTGTTTTATCGGTTCTTAATTTAAGTTTACTAACATTTAACCAATTCCTAATTTTTTTAATATCACTACTTAACCGTTCTAAAGAAGTGTCCAAATGCTTATGTGCTTTCTATATATATATATATATATACAGGGTGACTTCGAAGTTGAGTCATTTATTTTAACAGTGAGTAGATCTGATCAAAATAAATGTTTTTTTCCTTTACCATTTTTCTGGTAAAATTAAAGTAACAAAGTTATAGCCCTTTGGAAGTTTGAGTACCGCCCTGTCTCAATAATAATATTATGTGCTCGTGTTTGGCGACAACGGATATAATTCGCCTTGTCGGTTCATCGCATCGGAAACAAAAAAGCGAAAGAATTTGGAACGATGTTTTTACAATTATTTCATTCAGTTGTATACAGCCAGTGTCAGTCGGTAGTGGATAGTGGTGTCTGTTGCGTGGCTCAAACGAAATAAAAAATGGCACATGTTTATGCGGATCGGTTTCCCAATCGAGTGCAACCAACCCCTCGTGCCTTTGTTAATGTAGTACAACTGGTTCGTGAATCATTTGACTTAAGACCTCACATATGGACGGCATGCCGGTGCTCCAAGACCTTACGATCAAATACAGGTACGCACTGAAATACTTGTCGGGAGGATACTTTATAAAACAAGGTAAATTTTTTTTTATTTTTACACACATTTTTTGGTTTATCTTCCTTCTACAATCATTATCTGAAAATTAATGACTCAACTTCAAAGTCACCCTGTATATATATATATATATATATATATATATATATATATATATATATATATATCACTATAAACACATATATCATCCATGGAAATATCTATAATTGTGTTAATTAAATATTTAAAACTGCAATGCCAAGAGCGTTGATTTTTAAGTAGTAAGTATAATAAAAACTGACAGGTTAATAATTAATGATAGTGAGAACAAATGCTTGCCACTTTAAATCGTACTGATTATCAATGGGTTGGCTGGTCACAAGTCGCAAATGATGACGTCACGCCGATAGCGCTGTGTTTCGACAATCTAAATTTACAGCGTATTTTTTTTCATTTTTGTTAATACTCGTAGTTTTATAGCGCTCAAGAATAAAATTAGGTTGGAGGCGTAATTCAGAAGCAATGTAGACTGTAAATATAAATTGTCCAATCTTACAAAAATTCAATATAAGCCCCTACTCATTTCTTTAGCTTAAACATGTACAATGAGTGGTTTTTCATCTTTTCTTTTTGACCTAATTTACAACAGCGAAATTTACTACGGTGCCGCCATTTTTGTTTCTTCAACAGATATGCTCAATAACTTGCTGCAATATTACTCTTTTACCTTTTCTTCCACCAAAAAGTGACAAAAATGCCACTTTACCTCTACTCCAAGTCGCTACAAATATGAACTATTTTGGAAATTGGTCTGCTATTGTTTTTTAAATATATCCATAATTCTTTTGATGATTTTATCAATATTTCTTTGTACCTACTTCAATTTATCTCCAGCTGCTACCGAATTATAAAAGTCACACCTATGAAGCGGTACTGCACGGTTATGTGGATCATATTGCTTTGCTTCAATACACAGACTTTTGTAGAATTGGAATTGAAGAATATGAGCCACGAAGTACCTAGAATCGAGAAGGGTGTTATCAAAGGAACGGGTTCAAAAGATAGGGATATTAGTCTTCTAGTGACCCTTATTTACTTGAAATTGTCTGTATTTAATTATTTTCCTGTTATAAAGTTGTAGAAACACTAACTTTACGTTCATATTGATTAACAATTAAAAAAAACGCATTGTATGAAAATAATTAAAACACATTGTTTATAATTTAAAATGTTGTTGTTTTTCATTACCAGAGAAAAACGAAATTATAATAAACACGCCCTTTGGGTAAGAAACAGAGATTGTCGTGTATGTCCACATAACACTCTATCACTAATTCGTTGGCATATTTTATCATCATCTGTGCCATTACGTTTTTAAAAATTCAAAAATATGATTTAATTATTCATTTTATGTAATGTCCTTCAACTAGAATAAGTATCACATCAATTTTTTTTAAATTGTTAATCAATGTGAAGGTAACGTTAGTGTCAGCAACAGGAAACTGTTTCTGTAGGCCACAAATCCAATTAAAATATGCGTTGTTTTGTAAAACTATAAAAACTGCTTGGGACTGAAACTGGAAATATTGCGCCTCAAATTTTGATTCCTGTTAAGTCATCAGGCGTGAGCCAAATTCCACAGGTTGTGTAAATCTGAAGCATTATTCCTAATATAAAATATGTTTTTATTGTTTCGTAGCAATTTTTCAATAGACTGTGAGTCGTCTGACAACTTTGATAACATAATATGAAGCGACTTACGCGATATACTGTGAATCTCCGGGAATATGGTACTTTGCACCTGGATCAAAGTCTCTGGTATCTGATCGCTCTATAGGAGGCTTGACTTTTTGATATTTCATCCGGTAGTGCCACCAGTGTGAGTTCCACTTATCAGCTTGGACTGCTCCACTGAATACGTCCCATCTCCATTTGTCAATAAGTAGCCCAAATGGTAAGAATGATATTTTTTCTAGAGCCATGTTCATTAAAGTGTTGATATCCGACTCATAGCTGGAAGTTTGAAATATTATACTGAACGAAGTTTGACAAAGAGAGTTCTCTGCTTCCGATCTCAGAACATCGGAGTCACCAAACATTTATTTTTAAGGTTTACAATGAATGAAGTACAAGGCAATTTGAAATAAGATGTAGTAGTTTAAATCTTTGCTGGTATGTCTTGCAGCCAATCACTTTGCAGTAAAATAATTCATACTAATACTAATATACTTACCTTTCGTCGAAGTTATTAAGTAGTTTGATCTTTTTCAAATGAGTAGGAGTCGATACTGAGAGCGCCATTGTATCTCCAACAGCTTCATGGAATGCTGGGTTTGCGCCCTCTCTAAACGTATGAGACAGATGCTTGTATTGAAGATAATACTGAATGTGGCCCATTTCATGGTGGATGGTACGAAAATCTTCGAATGTTACATCAGTACACATCTTCAATCTGGAAAAATGAAATGTGATTAGAAAACTTGACTGGATGTTTCCTCCAAAAAAATCTTGAACTACGGCAATACGAAAGTTTTCAGTATAAATAATTTACAAGTTGCAGATTGTTCTTTGATTACCTAAAAGTTTTCTTGTCGCAAAAGTCCCAAGCGCTGGCATGGCACAGAACTTCCCTTCCGTCTGTTGGTTTCCTTATCATAGCTCCAGCACTTTCGTTGTAACACATTTCCATAGAATAGAGACCCAGCGATTGATAGAATTCGTCAGCCTTTTTGAACATTTCCAATAGAGTGTAACCTAGATCATTTAGTACAAGTTAGTATTATATTTCGTATGAAGAGAAATGTAGCTAAGTATATCTGACTGCCTAACGAGAGTATTTTTGCCATTCCATCCTATATAGAACGTTGATTTAATTTTAATTTCAATAAATGTTAACCTTGTTTTTTCATCTCTGCATCCACATTCATCTGTCCAGCATTCGGAAACGGTTCTAGAATATCCCTAAGATGCTCCCAAGATTGTGCCCACATGTTACCAAAGACATGAGCAGGCAACAAGCCGTCCTTCATGTCCAACTTGGGACCGTAGCGATCTTTTAGTTTGTTACCAACGTATTTGTGGAGTTCGTTATAGAGCGGTTCTACTTCTTTCCATATGGTGTCTATGTTTTCCACAAAATGGGGATCTTCGTATGCGAAACGCCAGTATTCACCCTTGTCACTGAAATCTTGAAAAAAGTATGTTAAGTTAATGTGTGTATGTTTTGCGAGAGATAATTGAAGGTAAAGTATCTCAAAAAGAGCACGTTGAAAAAAAATACGAATATGGACATTATTCTATCCATATAGGTATTAACTATTTTGTTATCACGTGTTAGAACATGTTCGTATTATTTTTTTGAGACTTCCAAGCTTGGGGAGCAATATCCAATACGTGTGTTGTCGGTTTTTAGAAGCTGATTGAGCTCTGAGACTTTCAACGTTGAGGAGGATGACGTGAAATAAAAGAAGTCTTACTGTTTGCCTTTGCTTCATCATTGGACAATTGAACGTATTTCTTATACAAATCCTTCATCTTTGCACCAGTAGCGTCTCTCCACTTACTCCATGCATATAGTAATTCATCATAATCCTTAGATGATGACATTATATTTTCTATTCCTGAAATAATATTTTCATATCATGTTAAACGCGATTGAAAATATATCACTGATATACCTGGTTCAAGGGTCAACCCTTCTTTTGCAAGATCGCAGTTCGGAATCTTGTAAGGACATATTTTGCCTGTGCTGTATATCTCTGTCATTCTGTTATTAACTTCGTTAAGCTGCAAAGTAAGGTTTTGGATTTTGAGTAACTGAGCAGTTCCGAGCTTCTCAGAAATATATAAAAAGAAAAACTTAAACAGTTTAAGGGCTGTATCGTCAGTCGTTCCTACAACTGTAGGACGCCTTTATGGCTTCCTTGATTGTCATAGCCTTTTCTCTCCTTCAAAAATTTCTGGATGCACCTGTCCCGTGTCAGCGTCAGCGCCCTCTTGTGAAGTTATGTTTTCTTATTGAACTGTAGGAAATTTCAGGCTGATAGAACATGATATAAATCAAAAGCATGTCCTACAATATTGTAGGACGCCTTTATGGTCTCCTTGATTTTCATAGTTTTCTACTTTTCCGTGTCAGCGCTCTATTTTGAGGTTATGTCTCAAATATCTATTTGCATCAAATTGTTCATGCTTTTGATTTATATTATCTGTTTTATCAGCCAGAAAACATGACCTCGTAATGGGAGAGCGCTGACGCTGACAGGGAATAGTAGAATTCTAGAAATACCCCAGTCTTTCTGAAGGAGAGAAGAGACTATGAAAATCAATGAGGCCATAAAAGCGTCCTACAATTGTAGGAACGACTGACTATACGGCCCTTAGACATAGGATTCATAGACAATATTGTATATATTTTCTAGCTTGAAGAAGACGTAAAGCGATTGAAAGAGTCTATAGATCATACTTCACGTTTCCAACTGTGCCATATTTTTTTATTTGTTGTTGTTTCGTACCTCTTCTAACTTTTTTGGCTCTAATGCCGCTGAACCTAATATTTTCAAAAATTTAACCTCCCTTCGTATTGTTGGATCTTCATATTCCTCTGGTACAATGTCTTTGAAGTACTTAGTCCAAACGTTTTTTTCCCATGCTGCTTGTTCGAGTGTTAAATTAGTCTATAAAAATGAAAAATTAACTATGAAACTAACCATAAACTTTCTGAAATATTGATTGAACCCAAAGTAAGCACATATACGCTTACTAGCTTGCAACAGTCGTCTTATTTTATATTACGAAATGTAGAGATATTATGCTAAATGACATAGACAATGCAGCACCGAATAGGAGTGCTGTAATTTTGAGCATACTTCTAGGTCTATTGATAAATAGAAAGTGGTTAAAATTTTAACTCGAAATTTCGCAAAATAGCTGAGATATCCCACCCAAATAGGGAAGCAGATGTGGTTGTAAAACTTCGTGGATATAGCGCTGGGCAGTCATGCTACCTCGAATGAACACTAATCGTGACCTGCTGCCGTAAGCAATGGCACCCCATACCATAACATCCACAGTGCGATGAATATGCCGTTCGATGCAATATTATATAATTTCATCTTTCACTACGTCTCTCCCTTACTCTTGCACGGCCATCATGTGTGCCCAAACAGAATCTGGACTCATCGCTGAACACAACTGAGTTCCACTCCATAACCCATTCCAGTCTCTCCCTACTCCATACCAATCGTTGCCGATAATGCTGTGGGGCCAGAGGTGGTACAAGATGGGGACGGTATGAAAACAGTCCAAAAGACATTATTCGGCGATAAGCTGTGCTCATTGTTATTGCCCTTCCGACAGCATTAAATCACTGGTTCGCAACTGCCCTTGTGGAAAATCTCTGACGTCCAGTACCTCTAACTCGTCGATTTCGGCCTTCTTGGAGCCACGCTCGACAACATCTCATTGCTGTAGCTTCCTCTCGATTCACCCGATTAGCGATTTCTCTAAGAAAATCCGAGTATCCGACCCCTTTCAAACTCGGAAAGGCGAGTAAAATTAGCGCGTCTGCAAACTCTAGGCATGATAATGCAATGAAACAACAAATGGAACCAACACCGAAAAATCACTGAATATTAAGTAAACATGTTCATATTGTTCGGATCCTGATATGTCAAAAAAAGTACGGCTCGGAATGCCTTCAACGTTTTATCAGCGTATACTTCCATGATAGCAAATATGTTTACAACTTTTTATCAAAATTAAATAAATAATTCTGGGTGTTGCATTTTATATGTCACTTAGTATATATTTCACTACACAAAACTATAAAGCACTGATTTCAGATGGTATTTTTGATACTGTGATCAGAGATTTAATCTGTTTCTCAATTCTCAAATTCTTTGGTAACATTTGTATGGGTACTCACAGTCAACTCTTCTTTCTTCTTGTTTCTTATATCGGTTTCAAAGTCAAACTGAGCCAACGCAGCTTTACGACACTGGTCTGAGGCTTCTCTCTCATATACATTATTTAGATACTGTTTCAGTTCGTCTTCAGATATCTTCGCATAGGTGCAACATATCAGTCCCAGGATAACCAAATATTGCTGGGAATAAAACAGGGTTGTTTTTTGTTGATAAAATAACTAAAATTACTTTGCAGTTTGATTACCGGTGAGTTTTTCATAGCATCATTAATTTGTCATGCACATAAAAATAGGTCGACCTTGCCAAATGTAAAATGTCAATATGACATTTGTAGAGGTAGTTCTCATGTTTGAACTCAATTACTGAACTCATACGGACTGCATTCCGCCATAACTTTTCACATATTGGTTTTACTTTTTCGTTTTTTCCGAAATACCGTTACGTTGTTTCAGTGCCATTCCCATCTTCTGTTTAGTACGTCAATGCTGGTAGTATGGTGGATATTTAGTACTCCCCAGAGTGGCCTTGGGGGCCCGGACCACCACCCCCGAAATAAACGGGTTAAAAATAATTTCTAACGTATTTTTCAATTTGCAGACGACCCTCTCTCCCTATTTAATTTTCAATCGCCAATACCTCCGAGTGGGCATCTTGGTCATGAAACCCCCCAAAAAAATTCAAACTCATCAGATGGGCCCAAAATATTTTCTTGATCCGCCCCTGCCCCGGAATGACGATAGGATGTCTATAATCAAATTCAAGCGAATAACCAAACGAAAATGGTATTTACCATTTTGGATTGGTATTTACCGATCCGTTCAAGCTAGTGTGGTTCTCAGTTTAGTTATAAGATCCGTGACGCCATCAATCAGCTGTTATATATCATAGTTACCACCGCAAAATTGTGGTATTTACCAACTTCAGAGTTGTTTTATATTTCTGGTTATTATTTGAAATGTGACCAGTTAGACTTTCTTCAGTTGTAGCAGAAAGTAGAGCACCTTATTAGTTTTAAATCTAGTTCCTATGCTTAACAAAGAAACCTGTGTAGCATATACCACAAGAATATTAAAATATGGCCATATAAACTCAATGGATAATGTCCACCTGTATACGGTTTTACTAATATCTTTTTTATCGCTTTTTCTTATAATTTCTGCTAAATCAATAAATGTTTTCTTTGACATGCGGAAAAGTTTAGAGAATTGAAAGTTATCGTAACCCATGGTTCCACCATTAAAATTTTGGGCGACACATCTTTTATTTTCACGACAAACTTGTTTAAAAATGATAGATTTTCTCAAGTGATTTAACACCTGAAGAATATCTTCTCTCATTTCTCCTATTAATATTATGAAAGGTTTCTTTTTTAAACTTTCCATATCATCGTTGTAGACTAAAAAGCACGGATTATTAAGAGATAATAAAAATAGTCAGAAATTATATACCCGCTTTTCTAAAATAAACAACTTGCAACAAAACCGCGGTTAAAACCAACGCGTTCAAGCGATTCGAGTAACTGACGTCACCAACTCGTGTGTCAGTTTTCGTGTTCAGAGTTTTTCAATAGACCTGCATTTCTCCATATTTGTTTACCTGCCTTTCCATCATCTGTGTCCAACTGACTAGACCTATACCTCACTGGAGATTGATATAAAGCATGAAACAGCGTTGTATATGGTTGGTTATGGTCTCAGAGATGGAATGCAAACAGATCCTATTCAGCATGTCCGTCTCAAACCTTGTTTTTGTGTTGCAACTTTTTGTGCACAGCAAAAAAGGAATATATCCTGAGCTTATATTTAAAAAAGAAATTCACTTGTTTTTTTGTCATTTTCTGATCGCTAGGGACTTGGAGATTTAGATATTTGGCGCTAATTTTTTGAATTGCATATATCAATAGTGATATTTAAAGAGCATTTGTGTATTCAGAATTTTAAAATGGTACCTACATAAGGAAAATTTTAAACAATGATGTATCTGAATGCTTGGAAAGTACCAAGTCAATCTACTTTTTCAAGCTTTTAAAATATAACCGCCCCCAGACCATCGTTTCGTAAATTCCGTGAAATTGTTCAGAATGTGCAAAACCAAAGAGGAATCTAATTATTATGCTATTCAATTTTCATTAACAGTAAACATTGAAAAAACTAAACCAAACTATAAAACGAAACCATAGAAAACAATCTCTCGTAGTAACTAAATCATTGATGTTAGAGACCTTTATAAGAACCTCAGATAGTAACAAACATTAACGAAAACTGAAAGCAACCTTTCAACACCAAATCTGCGAATAATCAGAATAAAGTAAATGTATTTGCGACCTGGGTAAGCATGCCTCTCGGAGGACTGAGTATTCTATCGGATTCTATGAGAATGTAGCTCGAGCATTTTCATACACCCGACAAACCCTGTATCTCAAGTATCAATAATTGTTGCAACAATAAAAATACAATGGAGATAATGACTTAATGATGTTATTACATAATGTATTATGCGGTAACATATGATGTCAACTCACCAAGTTATTCATCGTTCAGTTCATCTATGGAATCTGAGCAACTGAACCACCACGGTCGTCAGCGATGGCGGCCAATAGAAAACTGCAACGCTGGCTGATAATTTTGAATTTATACAGCGTATTAGCCAGGTAATATATTCAAGCAAATCGCTTGAACGCTTGGGATTTCTTTTGATATGCAAGAACGCTCGCTATTCGATACAAACTTGCTTGAAAATATCACCGTTTTTTTATATTCGGATCACAGAAGACACTAAGGTTCACGGTCGTAGTGATAATCAAGGAGCTGGTAGTCGTATCGATATCAATCTGTACATTGAAAGCTATCTGCAAATAGATGTATACAGGGTGTTCCGGCAGAACTGTGGGCAATAATCTAATTAATATTCACTCTGGTTCAAAATAAAAGCAACAAGAAAAATGTTGGCCAAATTCAGAATGTTGTAACTTTTTCACTTTAACCTTGATTTTATTGATTCTTTCGGCAGGCGGTAGGTTCACTTATTCGCATTAAATGTGTTGATACGATTTCTTGATTGTAGCCACAGTTGGGCTTGTGTGATGTCAACATATCATATTTTGCTCTTGTGCAATGTTCGACCCCAGAACGGCAAGAAGGCGTCTATCTGAAGAATATAAAACTGATCAAAATCTGTGAATTGTTGTGTTACATTCATTCTGCTCCAAAAGAACTATACTCGCTCGAGTTGATGAGGCTCTGTTGCCTTGTACAATTTGGAAAAAAACTTTTTGAATTCTTACGGGAATTAAAAGAGTTCTGAAAGGAGAAAGGAAAATTGATGATAAAATGTCAATGTGCCTCTAAAACTTCAACCACTGTAAATATTGACGGGATAAAAAAACCAGATTATAGAGAAAATGTAGTTCTTGATACTGAAAAGCATTGCGGTCTGCTTGGCAGCTGGAGTCACACCACAGCGTGACTCAAAGTTGGGGTAATGAAATATCATGTTGATTTACCCTGTGCAGCAGGTTAAACCGTCACAACAATCAAGAACTCAGACCTACACATGCCAATGACTGTACCTACCCCATTTAAAAAAAAATATCCATAAAATCGAGGTGAAAATAAAAAAATTATGACGTTCCGGATTTGCCCAAAATTTTGCCTGTTGTTTTTATTTAGAACCTGGGTGTATATGTATAATACAAAAAATTATGCGACATGTACCTATGAAAACATATCCTAAAGGGATCCCCATAGAAAAATTGTTTTTTCAAATGACTTCTCAGTACTACTTTACAATTCTACAATGTTTTAACAGCGCATAATTAGTAAGGCCACACCCTCACGCGATGATGTCGTTGGCAAAGAAAGCCGTTTAGTTCGTCAGGAATGGACTAGCCCTATCGCAAGTCTTCGTCATTTTTTAGGACATTATAAGAATTATTGATTAATGCATTCTCCAACTGCTTTAAAAAATATGTTTTTTTTTTTATTAAGTAGTTAATGATACAACTTTTTGTCTTTTGGTATCACTTCGTATCATACTTCGTTTTCAACGAAAAAATAAAATCGACTTTATTGTCAAAATTTTAAATATGAGAGCAGAAGCCTGCGTACAAGCGGCAGATGGTTATTTCCTACGTTTTTTGTAAATGTTTTACCAAACTGTTGTTGCTTTTTGATCCTTACATATTAAAAATAACATATTAATAAATATTGTGCATCGATCAAATTAAATTGACGTTGTTATGTTTTTCTTCGAAAACGGAGCAAGATACGATGAGATACCAAGAGGCAAAAAAGTTGTATTTTTATCTGCTTAATCTACCACCGTCTGTAGGCTTCAGTATTGCCAGCTTAAGTAACACCCTGTATAATTGCTTATCTTCGGGCAGGCACGGCTTTCAACTGAGGTGGGCATCTAGAGGAATATGTTAATATAGGATCTTGTCACATAAGGTTTTTTATATTACACGAGCCCTAACAATTAAATATTCGGACACCTTTACATTTTGTACAAATGAATCCATAAATTAACTGCTGCTTTCTCAAATTGTATGGCAAAAATGTATAATGATAGATAAGTATAATAAACATCTATTTTCAATAGCGGCACCTCTGTTTTCAAATGTATCACTTTAAAACAAACAGAATCACTGAAGTATCTCGAAATATGATGACAACTTAATGTTCGGACATGTCAAGAAACATATTATTAGAGATAAGCAGAGACTAGCAGGCTTTGCAAAAACATATCGACAACATCGTTGGAAATTGTAGGTATTTGGAAATTATATTTTCTTGTTGCTAAGTTACATTTATGCAAAAATGGCACGAGGTGTAGCCACTAATCAGAAAGCGATGCAAATTATTATTCAGCAGTTTCGGACATTGTGAAAGAGTATAGGGAAATTGTAAGTACTGACGTCCGCGGTAAAATCAATGTGACGGAGGACTGTAACTGAACGGAATCGAAAAGCTTTGGTCAAAATCTGTAAATCGGCTAGGCGAAACACAATAGGGAAAATTACCTCTCAGGGGAACACAAAGTGTGGGATGCAGCTTTAAAATATATTGGTCAATCTGGATTTAGATGTTATAAGGTATGCATTATAATATTGTTATTCCAAAGCAATGAAAAAATGTTTTTCCTTAATTAGGCTAAAGAAAAACCGCTTCTAACTGAAGTCCGAAAACAAACACGCTTGGACGTACGAGCACTGGAGCAAGGTCATATTTACTGACGAAGACAAATTCGATGTATGCGTAGGCGATCACCGAAAAAGGGCTATCAAAGCAGAACTGAAACCTTTCACAAAGACTGTATTAAACGTATAGTTAAATTTCCCAAAGGTATACCAAGAAATCCATAGTAGACTTTGTATCCTGACGGAGACTGTGTGTTTATCAGCAGGACTGCGCATCATGCCACACTGATAAAAGCACAAAAACATGCTTTGGGGGCCATAACGTACATGTCCTCTCTTAGCCTGCTAGTAGCCCCGATTTAAATGTCATACAGACGGTCTGGCATAAAATGAAACATTTGATAAACCATCCTCAGAGAACAATTCCTGAACTGCGTGTGAAATTGTAAGAAATTTGGAATATGAAGTTGAGTCATTAATTTTCAGATAATGATTGTAGAAGGAAGATAAACCAAAATATGTGTGTAAAAATAAAAAAAAATTAAAAAAAATGTTTACCTTGTTTTATAAAGTATCCTCCCGACAAGTATTTCAGTGCGGACCTGTATTTGATCGTGAGGTCTTGTCCCCTGTGAGGTCTTAAGTCACCTGATTCACGAGCCCGTTGTACTACATTAACAAAGGCACGAGGGGTTGGTTGCACTCGATTGGGAAACCGATCCGCATAAACATGTGCCATTTTTTATTTCGTTTGAGCCACGCAGCAACACCACTATTCACTCACGCGTTAGCGACTGACACAGACTGAATAAAAACATCGTGATCAGCGTTTCAAATTCTTTCGCTTTTTTGTTTCCGATGCGATGAACCGATAAGGCGGATTATATCCGTTGTTGCCAAACACGAGCACATAATAATATTATTATTGAGACAGGGCGGTACTCAAATTTCTAAAGGGCTATAACTTTGTTACTTTAATTTTACCACAAAAATGTTAAAGGAAAAAAAACATTTCTTTTGATCAGATCTACTCACTGTTAAAATAAATGACTCAACTTCGAAGTCACCCTATATAGAGAGGAAAACTGCCAAGCATTAGTTAAGACCATGCCGGCAAGAATTCAGGCGGCAATTAAAGCGAATGGCGACGTTATTAGTTAAGTTAAATTTTGTAGTGTCCGAATATTTAGTTGCCATATATTTTTGTAAAGTTTACCTTGTTTTTTTCCATTAAAATTAGTTAAACAGATGATACTATTGAAAATATGCCACAATTTGTATATATAATAACAATACAAGTTTTCGGTACATTTTATAGGGAATTTGGGCAAAATGCAAAGGTGTTCGAATATTTAGTTGTTTGGGCTCGTATGCAACCATTTTTCATGGTATTGTTCACATTTCTGAACAAGGACCCAGGATTTGATAGCAAAAGCGAAGGTAGGATATTAAATAGATATTTTCCACCATGATTTTTACCTCGCACCTGGTTTCAAAATCATGAGCTCATTCAGAATGATTGGAAAAGGGGTAGCTGATACACAATTCGGGTTGGTGGATTTGATATATTGATGAATTTTAAGATATGAAGGGTGAATAGCTTTGAACACCTTTCTGACAGATTAATAAGATTTTTGATAAACGATGTGCTGCAAATATATGACAGAATGAGAGAACTGAATGTTTGTTATCAATTGTGCATCTTTCCTGGTATTGCGAAATCTTATTAAATTGATGTGTTGTTCAGAGATCCAGATTCAGATAATTCGAGATGCAGATCCAGAGATGAGTGAAGTTCGAGATAGAGTTGCACATGAAACGTTGTGCATGGGTATATTGCTCTTCAAAATCGGCGGCCAAGAGTTGCAAATCATTCCTCTTGTTAAAATTTAGCATCTATGAGTCATAGAGAAGAATCAAGTTTTTTCTTCGTAATACTATGACCCAGGATCGCCTTACAGCGTTGTCGATGCTGTCCATTGAAAAGGAATTTATTTCGACCATAAAAAATTTCAACGGGAAGGTGATCGACAAATTTGCTGCCAAGAAGCAGCGCAGGATCGAACTGACATATAAAAAATAGGTAAGTTCGGATTTGCAGAACTCCTGTTTTATTTTGCCACGAGCCGCCACTGTCTATGACAAGCTCTCTTATAAAACGTTTCCTAATTTCAAATAGATATTATATGTATTAGCTCTTACGCTATAGTTTACACACCTTGATAAATATTTTAAAAATATTCACTAGGTTGCCTGTAACTCAACTTCTACGATGTCATTGACTTGTCAGCTAAAACATCCACAAAAACAGCAATCTCAGGTAATTTTATATGTGGCACCGTTTTTGTAACTTTGGACAACAGTTTTTGTTGCACTAATATTGTGTCAAGTTCATTCATTGTAGCATGAATTGGCGACAGATCATAATTTAATTAACAGCGGAATGACGATAGTGGTTAACGGCTTATAATGTAATTATTAATTTTTTAATACTTTCTTGTATTTTGATGGTACAGGGTGGTTCGTTTAAGTATATTTCATTTAGGGCTTCGATACAACTATTCAAAATAGACATTAAATGTGGCATGGAATGGAAAGTGTTGTGAATCGCTTCTTAGAGGGTTCGTTAATATGTATTAGGGGTATAATGGCAGGATAGTTCATAAAATATATCGCCAAAGTGGATACATGTTTTCCGAGTCCTCTTTTTAAGGTTGTGGTAAGATTTTGGAATCGAAGTAGGTATTGCAAGATTTTAAATAGACAATAACTAATTCAAATAAAATAATTAGCTTTATTAGTCATCAAATTGTTTGTTTGTTCTTTTGTGTCATATCACTCTCCCTTGCGGGTTTTAGAAGTAGCAGCAACGATTTGTCCTCAT